TTCAACAAATATAATATATTATTAATTGTATAAAAGGTTAGGTTAGGGTGAGGAATTGAATGGGGTCGATGAGAAGGAAGCTGATGAGGATGTCATGTAATGATGAAGATTGACCGACTGTCATGCACGCCTTGTCAAAGTTTATTTATTCTGACTTTTGTTGGCTCTGTCTGCCTCTCCCACAATCTCAAGCTCTCATTTTCAAATTCTGTTGGATGGCCATCATATGATGATTAATATTCATTTAAAACAGTTAATTAATAATTATCAAATCTAAAACTATGGACACCAAAGAAAGAAAAAGGGATCACATTACACGACCACTTTTTTAGGTTGTTTATAATGTTGACAATTCTAAACCAAATTAGAATGAAATCGACTATATTAAATTAGATTTTTATAAAAATTCTGGCAGTTAATAGAGAGAGAGCGCTGTATATTCAGGGTTCTTTGGCTTTTGGTGGACTTATGTCGATCTATTCTTTCTTTAGCAAATTTATTGTTTCATATATGGGTTAGCTTTGGTTGTGCCTTATCTTGCGAGGTTGCTTTTGAGGTGTTGTGACTTTGTTATGGTAAATCCACTTCTCATTGGTGCATTGATGCCCTAAAGTAACTAGGTGGCACGTTCTATGTCATATCTCGAAGGAAGATTAGAGGCAATTAGTTTTCCTTTGCTGTCATTGTTTTAGTTTTTTATTTTGGTTTAGTTTGTTCAATAAAGTCTAGAAACTCTATGAGTTTTCCGTGTTTTTTCTCTTATGATTTCAGACACTTGGTTGAGTTTGTTGGGTGTTCTTATTCTCTCTAGGAGAATTACGCCGATTAGCGGCTAGTTTTTGTCCTTAATGTCATTGGACCATATTTGGGAAAATTTTGGCGGTAGAAAAGTTATTTTCGAGAGTGATTCTCTACAAATCGCGTTTCAGCTTTTCGACTAGCTCAAATTGCTGAAGAAGTTTTACCCATGTCTGGCATATTATTGTTAGAATATTCGGGATTGGTTTAGCAATATACGTGGTTTTTGTTTGTTTTTTGTATAGGCATTTTAAAGTTGCATTAGAAAGTTTAGAAATGTTTCTATTTTTCTATAAAAGGAATGCTAGTAACATTCTCTCTAACTTTTTCTTTTGGACTTTCTCTCTTTTCTTCATTATATGTGTCACTTCTCTCACACTTAAAACAATGTAATTAATGCATTATATAAACTAACTTTTCCAAATTTACCCATATTAAATATATTAACTTTCATATTTCCACACTTATCCAATTTTTTTTTATAAAAAAAAAAAAAAAAAAAAAAAAAAAAAAAAAAAAAAGAAATGTGAAACAAAGACAAGAAGTAACTGAACACAGAAAGTGACACAGACACTGAACCTGAGTGACAGAGACCCCACCAAAGGTCCACACCCACCTCTTCCACACCCACGCCGGCGGCAACAACCCCTCTCCTCCTTGCCGCCAGCAAAGCCTCCTCTCCTCTCTCTCTCTCTCTCTCTCTCTCTCTCTCTCTCTCTCTCTGTGTTCCACACCAGATATGGATCTCTCTCATATAACCCTATGACCCCAAATATGTAATTGGAGGTAGAAAGAACGTATCAGATTTCCTTCAATTTGGTACAGTTTGGCATTATTGGCAAACACATTTTAAGAGCAAAAGATGTCGTCTTGCTCCTGAACATCCATGGGTTATGCTATGTTCTCATCCCTTCAACATATATAATTTCTTTTTAAGTCTTAAGTGATTAGAAAGTTCATGAATTGCTTTTTAAGTCTAAATAATTTATTTTGTTTGATCTGGATCCATATCTAATATGGGAAAGAGAGGGAGAAAAGAAGGTGTTTCCGGCGGCGGGGAGGAAGGGGTTTGCCGGCGTGGTTGGGTGTTCTCTTTTTTTGGGTCTAATTTTTGTTTTATCAAGAATTAGTTTTTGTATTTTCCACGTTGATAAAAGAAATAGGAGAATTGGATTGGTTTATCAAGGGCAAATATAGAAACACGATTAATATTTTTTCTATAATTAAAAACATTGATTTAAGTGAAAGAGAAGTGACATATGTTACGAAGAGAAGAGAGAAGATTTATAAGACCAGAGTCGGCCCATGGCATGTGCGAACCGTGCGACGGCACAGGGCCCCCAAAATTTAGGGGCCTCCAAATGTTTTTAAAAGCCCAATATTATATTATATTTGTGGGTATGTGTAGGTTTTTTGTATGTAAAAGAAAATTGAATGGATGTGAGTATGTGAAAATAGACGAATGATGATTTTGATTATATTTGTGGCTTCTAATTTTGGTTTAATTTATGATTTATGAATTTTGAAATTTGAAAAATTGTTAATTTACTTATATATATAGGGCCTCATCAGCTTTTTTTGCACAGGGCCTCTATATTTAATGAACCGACTTTATATAAAACGGGAAGGTTGCTAGTATTCCCCTTTCTGGAAATACTGTGATACTGATGATACAACAATTATTTGGTTTTCTTACAAACAAACAAAAGAAGAAGCAATTATTTGATTTTTATTGGGGCAGCAAAGCAGTGTAGCAGCCCAGCAGGATTTCTTGGAGAAGCAAAAAAGTTGGAAAATCTAATGGATTTGATTTGACATGTGCTGCTTGCCTGCCCGTCCGCCCAATTAATACTCAAATCTTTTTCTTTTTCATCTCTCTCTCTCTCTCTCTCTCTCTCTCTCTCTCTCTCTCTTTCTCGTGCTAATCCAAATCCATTCACCCTTTTTTATTCATCTTCGTCTCTGTTAAATGAATTGAAACCAAACATGTTTAATTTTCCAACTAACCAAATGAAACGGTTCAAACTTTTTAAGCTTCTCATCTGATCAGATGATGATGGAGCCAGCAATATGCTTACACGTCTCCGTTTTATGTCTCCATGTTCCCTCAACAGGGAGGGAAAGAAGAAGAGTGCGTTATGTTTAGTTGGTTGGTTGGTTGGTTGGTTGGTTGGATGCCAGAAGTCAGCGGTCTTCATTATACCTTCACCTCAATCCTTCCAGAATCCATTAACTGTCGATTACACCCGGAACAAAATCTTTCTAATTACTCTTACCGCCTCTTGCTTGCTCTCTCGTCAATGCAAATATTTTCATCAGCTGATAAATTGTGCGTACTGGTTTTTTATTTATAGAAAAATGCTAATCGATTTTGTCTTGCGAGTTAATGTTAAGCTTGGCCAATTTTACACAATAAACGTGCCGCGATAACAACGAGTCTTGCTAGCATTTCTTTTTATAATATTGAGACAACTTATTAATCTTCCAAAGTTAGCGACATTAGCAAACATAATTATAAAACATAAAGTTAACTTGAAAAGGAAAAAGAGTGTAATTAATCTTAAATTGAATCAAACAAAAACAAATGAAGAGGCACACATTGGACAATTCAAGGTGATCGCGATCATGAATGTTTTTCACACTATAATTCCATCAGAAACCAACATGCATGAGCACGAGAGTGCTTTGCGAGATGATTATTATTTTATGTGTAGCTAATTTTGTCAGCCACTTTGCTTAAAGTACGTGATGTGCATGAGTGACATCCTATGATCATTACACATTATGAACAAAGCACCAAGTTTAAGTAGAATATCTTTAAATAAACGCAACTTTCTTTTTAGAACGCGTATTGATTTTCCCAATTTATAGCCTTTAATCATGATTCTAGATTTTTTCATCATGATACATAATCAATGACACATGTTTCTTTCGACAATGTCTTGCTATATAATGTGTGTGTGTGTGTATATATACGTGTATATATATATATATATTTATCACTGTATTTCCTCGCCTTCAAATATTCAAACCAATCTGATTAACTTGACTTTCAATCCCACCGTTAAAGTCCACATGCAAAATGATTAACTATTAATCTTTATATAACATATATTCAAAGTTAGTTTGAAAATTAGAAGTCTACAAACCTCTCGTAGAGAACTTTCCTCTACCCCGAGGAAGAAGAAGAAGATGACGTTGTGGCAGTTTGGATCCTGCAAATGCGAACGTCCTCGCCCAATTAAGAGCGGGTCTTGGTTTGGTGAGGAAAATTGTTATTTTCTTGCCACAAGCTACTAGCTAGAGGTGTAGAAATAGTTTTAAATGACGCCACATCACATCAGTTGTTGGAAATATACCTTGAACTAGTAATTAGTTTTTTCTTCTTAACTTAACTACTCATCCATGACGATATTTTATCCTAAAAGAGTTTTGGTGTAACACGATAACTTTTAGAAGTTAGAGGTTCTATCCTAAATTCAATTGATAATGAGAAGAATAGCCCGACTCCTAATAAAGTCCATTCTAAATTTGATCAAAGAAAAAAAAATTGTCCATTCTAAGTCACTTAATTTTCCGATATGGGACATTTCTTCACCACCTCCGAGTAATTACCTGAGTTTCAGTGGGCAGCATAAGGAGAAATCAAAAGAGTAGGCCCAATGTGATTGACTAGTGAAATGATCACGCGCCTTCCTTGGATAAGAAGGGATCGTAGGGACCAAGTCACCAAAGCGATTGACTGACTGAGGATTCGCAAAATCTTGAACAAAAGTCTCGTCTTCTCTCCTGCTTTGCTTTGCTTTTGAGCTTCTTGCTTTTTCCTCTCCTTCACAGTTCACTAATAAAAATTGGCTTTCACGTGTGTTTGTCAACCTCAGTAAGGTTTGTCGGTCAAACTGGTTTCCCACAACCTTCACCCCAATTATTATTATTGTACTGTTTTTTTTTAAACAAAAAAGAAAAGAAAAAAAGTTTCAAGAAATAAAACGAATAAGAAAAGGTGACTGTTGGGTCTGCGGTTGTATGGTTTGACAGATGCAATTTATAGTCTCCCATTCCTCTCTCTATAAAAAAGACTCTTTTCCAGGAGATCTTTGCTTTTTAATCAATAATCAGTCCAAACTTCCAAACCAAACCAAACCCCATTGAAGCTGGAGAAGCTCTCTTCCTCTTCCTCCTTCCTCTTCCTTACATGAAAGATGGAGCTCTGTTTGAGCTTAGGAGATGTGCAAGCTCCTGCAGAGCCATTTGGGTTAGTCTCATCATCATCATCAGAGAAGCCTCGTGATGATCGGGTCATCATGGCCGCCTCCAAAACGGCAGGGTTTTGCATGAGCTTATCAATCGGTCCAAGCTGTGACAGCAGCACGAGTACTAGTCCTAGAGAAGCAGATCAACAACTTGATACAAATGATCATCAAAATGATGATGATCGAAGTAGGTTTAGTGCTGCTTGTGGTTCCAAATCAGATGTACCAGTCCAACTTGATCTTCTCCCCCACACTCCTGTAGCCCCCAGAAGCAGCAGCCATGGCTTCCCTTGGCCCACTCCTTCAGATCAAAACGGTGAGAGACTCCAATACAATCCCACCTTTACAAGTATGATCTTGTGTGTATGTGTATGTTTTTTTTCTTTCTTTTTCACAATTTTAGTTAATTTAATTTGTGACAATTTGTAATTATTTTTCTGGGTAATAATTGGGTTGGGATAGTAGGAGGAGGAGGAGGAGGAGGGGGCTCTTCAGAAAACGTGAACAGAGTGGAGGAAGTGGCGGCGGTGTCATCGTCGCCGACAAACAGTGGTGCGTCGTCGTTTCAGATGGATATAGGGTTATACAGCAGCAATTACAGGGGCAGTGGAGGAAAGAGGAGTCACTCTCCAGAAGCAGAAGGGGATGAGGGAGAAAGGCAATCTAATTCTAGAGCAAGTGATGAGGATGACATCAATGGCATCAACACCAGGAAGAAGCTCAGGCTCTCTAAAGAACAGTCTGCTTTTCTTGAAGAAAGCTTCAAAGAACACCACACTCTCAACCCTGTAAGTATCCTTACACAAAAGAATATTATACATCCATATTCTGTACATACTGAAATGTTGTGTCTTTATGTGAATCTGGACCACACAAAAACAATATCCATACAAATATATATATATATATATATATAGTATTTAATTTTATTTATGATATTACAATGTTGGCAGAAGCAAAAGCTAGCACTGGCAAAACAGCTTAATCTTCGTCCAAGACAAGTAGAAGTTTGGTTCCAGAATAGAAGAGCAAGGTATATATATACATCTATATTATATATTAATTCCTAGCAAGATTATGTTATTCTTGATGATAAAAGGTAAGGCTTTATCTTTCTCTTTTTTTTACAAAAAAATAAAAATATATTAATAATCTGTAAATGATGATGATAGTGATGATGAATGATGATGTAAGTGCAGGACGAAGCTGAAGCAAACGGAGGTTGACTGTGAGTTTCTGAAGAGATGCTGTGAGACACTAACGGAAGAGAACAGAAGGCTACACAAAGAGCTACAGGAGTTGAGGGCTTTGAAGACTCATCATCATTCAAACCCATTCTACATGCAATCACCAGCCACAACCCTCACCATGTGCCCTTCCTGTGAGCGCATCGCCACCACCAACACCACTAGCACCACCACCACCACCAACAACAACAAAACTACTACAAAAGCCCAAGCAGAAGCAGATGGCTTCCCAAGATTCTATCCATTTTGTCAACCCCAATCCCACCACTCTTCTGCAGCTTCATGATCACATTTTGTGACATATTTATTTAATATGTACAGCTTCCTTCCAAACTGGGTTACATTAAATTTGATTAATTTGGTGGGTGTGCGTGTACATATGTAGACAAAAGTATTAGGGAAATGATCAATAGCTTTTTATTCATATTGTGGGATTTATGGAATTGGATTTTCTTTTTTGTCTTTTCCCCTTGCTCAAAGCCCCATCCTGTCTGATAGAACCAGAGAGGAAAAAAGAACAAATTATTTATAGGATCAAGAAGAAAAATACTTCTCTCATTCCTCTGTAAGTAGGAACTTCTACAGTTTTTCTTTTTGTGTTTTGGATGAATTATTTTTACACACATATCAAATCGTGATTCAAAGGACTTCTACAAGCTAATGGTCCTATAACCATCGTCCTCTTTTTCAATCTTCTTCTGTTTTGTTAATTGGTGAGATTTTTGGTTGAATGAATGAATCAAAGGGTTGTTGAGTTCTTTGATTGGCCGAGGTTGAAGGCTTGAAGCATGCTTTGAATGAAAGCAAGGGGCAGGCTGTAGGGACATGAGGGGCGTCTTTTGGGAATTTTGACGATTTCATTCGATGCATTGAAACTTTCCAAGGGCCGTTTGATTTGATGAGGAGGCGTGGGCGTGGGCGTGGGATTGATATCATATTTCTTTCATGGAAAGTAGTAGTTGGGGAGTGTTTCCACCCTAAAGAAAACTGTGGGGACAAGTCAAGAGAGAAGACAATAGGGTTTTTGGTGAGTAGGGACAGGAACGCCATATTGATGAATGTTTGTCCCTTAAAGTGGGCCCCAATACACACCAATGCTCAACATGTCATGTGAGTGAGATACCGTGAGGGAGCTATCTATGCTCTGAATGTCCACGAAGTTTAGGAATTAGGAGTGAGTGAACATACTCAAGCAATTTACATATGCTGAAGAGAAATAGGTCACGACATAGGATAATTTATCCTCATACCAATTCGGAGAAATTATAGCTTATGTGAACAGCCCTAATTCATCATGATACCGAAACCACCAGCAAGAAATTGAAAAGAAAAACCCGAAAACATGCTAGGGTTTCTAGTAGTTGATTTTAGTATTTACCAACTAGGTCTTTAGTTGTATTATGACTTGCTCTAATACCACACGTAAAACCTGAGGTGCATATTTAATTAAAAACACATTAGCTCAAGCCATTGAATGATATCCAAAGCAAAAGCCTTACTCAATATCATGTTGATTACACAGCTAATTATTTACATGTGTGTGATGCCAACATCTAGTGGGGGCCCTCAACTTATATATATGTCCAGTTACGAGTGTTTCAGAAATTCCCTTATCATTAAGTCAGTATGAAAAATAAAGGGTTTGTAACTCAAGTGATTAAGAGTAATTACCTATGCACCTTAGATTTTATGTTCAAATCCCCCGATATCTTTTATATAGAAAAAGAGATGAAGAAAGTTTAAAAACTAAAGTTTGTTGTGAGGTAGCAAATTTTGTTGTTTCCCATGTTTCATTTGCTCAAAAGCTTGGGAGTCGTAATGAATGAATGACACTTGCTCACCACAAAGACACAAGCGAAGCCTGAATAAAATATTAGTCAATCTGTCAGGACTCAAGATTCCACATGAATTGGAACAATAGCATGTTCTAGGGTAGTTTAAGAGTTTTGGACACTCTTTCCTTGCAAGTCAATTTTTAAGCGCAAAGTTCTACCCACGAGTTCTTGACAATTGATATTCCCTAAATAGATTTCACGAAGATTCCTGCAAATTGTAGAGATTTCTAGCCAATTCCTAGAGGGCTCAACCCAGATTACGTTGATTGCTCTCTCCACGCGCTCACATCTAACACAATCTCTTAACATATTGCTAGAACTAAGACATTTTAAGGATGGGATGGTTGCGGAACGTTAATGACTGGGAGAAAACCTCACCACAAGCTCTGGATAAAATATTAGACTTATCATGCATAATCCAAAAGACATTTTTAGATACTAACTTGTGTACCATCTTTCTAATAGAAGTGGATCCCACAAATATAATGAGTCTCACGTTCTATTAGAGAGATGATACACAAGTTAGTATCCAAAGTTGATCTTCCTTGCGTTTTCCATAATTCAATATTGACCTCCGCAAGACATGCATGTTGTGGGAGGCCATCCACGTGGTGTAAGATTGAGAGAGGACAATCATGATTAAAATATGAGACCGACCATGGACCCATCTCCAAATCCTTATCGGAAAATAATGGAAATTATAAGGCAGAAAGAAATTAACCACTTGACCTAAACAAACACCTGTATACAAAGTGCAATTCCCACTGACATATGACATCCATAGGATTTGTTCCAAAAAGAATTACGTACGAGAAAAGAAAAGGAACTAATCTTGTTCTATGATTTATGTTTGTGATAGGAAAATTCGCAAAATACGCTAATACTTTTTAGACATTTCAAAAGATTATAGTAAGGGTGGGTTAGGATTATGTATGTGGTTGTGAATGATTGCGAATGAGATTGTCAACTTTTCAACCAATTCACTTTCAAGTTTGCCTTATTATATGCATTATTGCACTTTACATGTACTAACTTACAAATTTTAATTATTTTATTTTATTAAGGAAAAAAGTTTAAATAAAATAGTTATCGGGTCGGTGCCGAATTTGGTGCTACCATCCCTAGTTTTGCTCTATAATATATTCAGTTTAATTTGACAAAATTTGGCTAGTTTTAAAATTTTCCTCTGATCAGATGAGAATTCAGACACAAGAAAGCATAAAGCAAAGAGTGAAAGATAGGACTAATCATTGAAGTAGATGCTCTAGCTCATATCAGTTGGTGACTCTGTATCTTACCAAACACAAATCTCCAGCCAAAATTAATATCACAATCGTTTACAATGAAACAAAGTACTCGAAAAATATGACAATATGCCTTACAAGTCTAAAGCTCATCAGTTCATTACATCCTCTGATAAAGAAATTCTATGAAAACTGAATCAGAAAGAATTTTCACAATAATCTGTCTCAACTGAACTATTTGGTGCCGTAAGAATTCACAACACTCAACTTACAACCAAAGGCAGGGGAAAAAAATGTACCTCACTCAGTTGCCACTTCTCCTAACATCTACCCTGGGCTGGGCAGGTCTATATTAACATTTTGTAATCTGTTTCATGGTGACACAATGACGTGACCATTACAGCAAAGCGCGACAAATGTACAACTATCCATAAAACAGATCAAGACAATTTATACAGTGAACTTGATTGGATATGAATTTACCAATTCTGCCATCAAAGTTGGAAATAACTAAAAATGAACCTACTAATTTGGCGTGAAAATCCTTGAAGGTGCTAAATGTTAATGACGTCTGATAGAGTAATCTTGGGTCAGTTTCCAGCAGCTAGATCATTTCTGAACTGTTCTACCAAAGGAGGAAGGAGAAGAGCAAGCCTAGACTTGTACCTTGCAATTCGCCCTAAGCGTTCTTCTCTTAACCTATAAGCAAAACACCAAGTCAACCTATGCAAGCTTTATCTGCAGAAAGAGTAATCCCAACCTTTTTGGAAAGCAGCACATCTCAAATATAGACTTTTCTTTATCCAAAGAGGGAATGATACCATCTTTAACGGTGAATGATACCATCTTTCTTGAATTGTTGATTAAGGCAGATGAACAATTAAGTTACAATACATTTTGAAACTTTGCAAACAAAAACGGTGCATGTGTGACATTTAATGAGAACTTGCAGACACATGCTAAAACCTAACACGTCTTTTTTTGTTTATTTTGGCAACCTAACATTTCAAATTAAACACTCCATTTCCTCCACCCTTAAGGCCAACCTAGATGAACCCATTAAATCAGTCTGGAGGCAACAGAATTCACTTCTCAAATATGTTTTTCGCAATCAACATCTTCCTTTAACAGAAAAAACTGGATGACATAAATCAAGTGCAAATTGACCCTCCCACATTATTTTTATGGTCCAAGTGCAAGCATTAGAATTTAATCTCACAATATAGCGGATAATTCCTTTAAGATTTCTTGTCACAAGCATCACTAAAGCCACCAAATTCAACTAAGGTGTAAATTTTATGTATATAAATCAGCCTCATCAAGCCTTAAAACGATTATCTGTAACAAAGGAAAAGCCGCCTCGGTATGTGTAAGAACCTGAAGGTGTGAGAAACTCACCGTGCTCGAACTTTTCTGGCACGTTTGACATGTCTTTTTAACAGATCATGTGGTGATGAGCGTTGAATGTACTCCTCATCCTGAAAGCAAGAACAAGGATACTCAAGTTGCAAAAGATCTAATAACTTTTTCTTTTCTTCATAAGAGATAAAGATCTCATCATTTGGTATAGGAAAGAACAGGTGCAAAAATATATAAGCTTCAACTTTTAATTTCAATGCCCTTTAAATTTAAAACTTGCTGGATTAAACCTATTCCACAGTAAAACCAAGGATGAAAATATTGGCCGATATGTCGGATTTTCAGTGTCTACAACGATATTGGGGAGTAAGTGTATTTCTTCCCCCCATATTGGCGATGTTTTCTGAGAATTTCCCGGATGACACTGATATTTGATGATAATTCTGATATTTCCCAATATCAGCCTAAAACCCAGAAAAATTTCACAACTTTTGAAGGTAATAGAAGGAAGAAGATGCAAATTATAAAAAATAAAAAAATAAAAAACCCTCTAATTAAGTAAAATATGAACCAAACTAAACCTTAATTGAATACCCATCTACTAACTCAGCCATCAAACAAACTAAATATCCAATTAATCTAATAATCATTCTACTCCAATTGACACCAACAACATCAATATGCCCCTATACCAAAAACGAAATTGATATATCTTTTAATTGGAGGGCTGATACTATATGCTACAGAGTTCTCTGAACACCAATAAAGCAGACCCATAGCCCGCCTGGGGGTTGGAGGTAACAGAAAAACCTATAATCCTCCAATTTGACAAAATATCCATGCATTCATACAAAGTGTGCTTTTATCTATGTACCTATTTTCTTTCTCTAATTTCTCTTAAACTAAAAAACACATACAACCAATGCATGCATGTTTTATCTAGATACCAACATATGTTGTATATTATATTTTGAAACTTGAAAATTCTGTAGCATACAATTGGTTTCCCACAGAGTGAAGGACTTGCATTACAAGATCACAACAGATTATCTTCAGAGTACAAAATACCCAGAATTTAACACACTCAAAAGTACTAGTTAAAACTAGACCTTCAGAACCTATCCAGAAAAAGGATGCTTGATGAATTTATTAAGATTAATCATGAAGAATGGTTATTAGTTCTGATTACCAAAAACAAAACAGCCATTGGACTGATAATTTAAGTGATTACTAAAAAAAATGAGCAACTTCGCATATCATTTCAGAATCTTAATTCATTTTTTGTCCTAAATTTGTAGCATACATATAAATCACTTTGTTCATAATTTTTATGGAATTTTCTCAAATCCACAAAACAAGATTCAGAAAATTGACTCAAGGTTGAACACATGACAAAGTTTGGTAAACCATCCTTCAGCATCATTTTAATGGTTCATGAAGACAAATGCCTAAAGGAGCAACAAAATTCTTATAAGTTTTTTGGCACACGAAATTCATCCAGAGATATTTGTGCCCTTATATTATAGATAGTATGCTTAATTCTTGTCCACTTTTAGGGACAGTAGTGTACCAGTTTATATGTGGATGTTGACACTGCAAAAGGCACTCATATTATCATTTTGAAACTAATTTATTTTTCTATTTGATGCTTCCTGTCTGTGGAAGTATACATTGTTTTGGGTCAAGAAGTATCTTGATTACATGACACTGATATGACCTAGATGAGATACTCCTAAAGGAGGCAAATACAATACACATCACTTTGTAGCTGGAACCAAACGAACTTTTTAAGTCATGAATCTTGATTTTTTTTGTTCCTTTATATCAGTTCAAAACAATGACTATTACTGCTAAATAGTAATCATTATAATAAAAAACCAACCTCATCCTCATTATCATCTTTTTTTCCTTCTTTTTCTTGTTCACCTTCCTCCTTCTTAGGCAAAGTAGCACTTGCCATAGGTATAGGTGATGGTTTTGGAAGAGACCTTACAGCATCGCCATATTGTGGCTGCCAACAGAATCAATATTTTCACAGACCATTAAGGGCAAAGCATTATAAATAAAAAGAAACCTGGAAATTGATAAAAATAAAAAATAAAAAAAAATAAAAACACAGGAAGAAGATAAAAGACTAAAAATTAGGCCAGTTCCCACATTCTAAATTCTAAATGTAAAGCCAAAGCCCAAAGAGATTAAGCAGAAACCAACATTGTCATAAACTAAAATAAATAAGGCATAATAATGCAGCAGGTAACAGAAATGTCACAACATTGAAATTAATATTTTAAACATTCAAGTCAATAATAAAATGAAATAAATTGGATCTGTATAGTAATACTCTCAAGGGAAATAAAAGTTCCAATCATTTGGGTTCGCAGTTTCCAATTCAATTAGTACAATAAACCCAGAAATGAGTTTACCAATTATTATTATTATTATTTTGATCAAGTATACCCCTTGGCATGTAACAAAGACTAATAACTACAGCAATTAGGGGTCATCTGTGTGGACTGAGACATAGTGTAATAAGGGGAACACATAGGGCTGGGCAAAGAATATGTCTTGCAGTCATTCTAAAACAGTTGAAATAAAAGACTTTCAGTTATATGAGTTTCAACCTAAAATTAACTTGTTTGCCAGATTAAACTGTATTAATATATGAGAAAGACAAAGACTTCTCTTGTAAGTAAGGGCCAATTATTAGGACTCAATTGCAAAGTAGGCTTGTTGAGGTAAGATAGTATATAAAATATTGTTATTCATCATTATTGTCAATTGTTTTACCATTTAGGCCATAAAAATACTTCAATCCTTCCATAGATAGCTGACAATGCCATCTTCTTTTTCAGTTGTAGTAGGACCATAGCATTTTGATGATAATGACGATTTCTTTGAGAAGAAGCATTTTGATGGTAATGATGTGAAGCTACTAGTATTACAGTAAGGCATTTTGTCCTATTGAATCTGTTAAGTCATTTATTTTCTTTGAATAAGTAGATTAGCTTCTAAGTAGTAATAAGATGTGATATTATACATATTCACTGTTTCATATGACCAAATAATTCATCCTGGAGGCGTTAGCAAAGTGTTAGACTGTATGAATTCAAAAGATTGCATTAAAAAAAACTATTATTTCAGGGAACTTATGTCTGCATTCTTGAAATATTAACAAATTAACAAATTCTACATCAAGTTGCATTTGTAGATTTGAGCTCTTCTAACAGCAACTCAGGCTATATTTGAACACAAATTAGGCTTGCAGAAGATCATCAAATCCTGGATTCTTAGGATAAAAGCAAAGTACAAATTATTACAGAAAAAAAAATCTCATGCCAACCTGACATTCTTCAGGAACTCCATTCCTCAACCATGACCGACAATGAACATATAGAGAAGCTCCATCTGTCATTCTGACCTGCATACATAATTCAAAATAATTAACACCAAGAAAAGTGTAAGAACTAAGGGCTAGTCCTAATTTGCATTCTGATTGTTATCACATAAAAAAGGTTTCCATCAAGGATCGATTGATTCATTTTAGAAAAGATATAATCCAGGTTGCATTTTATTTCTCTATTATTTCTGCTGACACTAGTATTAGAACTTCCTGTGATAAATGCATCTAGATCATTATGCACCATAACTACTATATTTAATGTACTTGGCAGAATAAATATACAATTGATGGGGATTGGGTTGGATCACATTGTGTAGGGTGTCCATGGGAGGCAATAACGGAAGATAGGCCAGCAGTTTCTAATTAATTTTTGTACAAAGAGAGAAGAGGTCCTTCAAGAGACATATCCGTGTATGTGAGTATGAAGAACAACTCCAGGAATGTTATCATCAGCAAGGGGGATTAAATAACTTCCTTGACATGAAGGAAAGGGAAGAAAGGAATTTAACAAATGGAAAAGAAAGAAAGAAAAAAAATCAGATTTTTCTTCTCTTACTTATCATTCAAGGACATTTAAAGGAAAGACAAAATGACAGTTTTCTTCCCCTATGTTAACAACCAGATAATGCTGATTCTATTCCAGCCAGACCTTATCTCAAATCCCACCAAAATACTTTACTGTTTATCATCAACTCATTCCAATCCCTCCTAGCAAGGGGAAGAATTTATCTGTACCACTCCTTAAGTCATCTTACTACAGATAATTTATTTTATGTGCTTGATCTGTATACACCCTACACTCACCAAGCACAGTTGCTGATTCATAACCACAATGCCCATTATCAAAAAGTTGAGAATAAGAAAGAAAAAAAACAAAAATGTAAAACTTTTAAATAGAGAGTTGAATAAGAAATTAAATCCCAGTACAGATTGTTTCTGCCATCTGCGCTTATTTCCATAAAAAGCCATCATAAACTTTAAGAACAAAGCCTTCAACAAACAACTAAAACAGTGCCAAAAAGTATATTTTCTCTATAGCATGAGATAGTCATTTTTCCCATTAATTATGTTTCCCTTTTAGCTATCAGCTCCTCCTAATAGAATGAACCTATCAAATGATCAGGGAAATGCAAGGACTATCAAATCCTACCAAAATCCACACCTAAAATGAAAATTAAATTAGGTACTGAAAAAATATGTTAGTAAAACCATGCAACATGATTACTTAAACTAGAAAAAAGATATAAAGTATACATGACTCCCAACAAGGGAGATCTTTGACATCAACAAGAGAATATCCTTTGCAAATAAATTTAGAGTCAATAGAAAGTCTTAATAGCATTTACTAACTTAAAGATATTAAAATGCATTTATAAATGGACAGACAATCAGCAAAGTGCTCCTTACTTTTCGACCTCTAATGACAGCTAAGTTATCATCTCTGCTTTTATCCCTACAGAAACACAACAAGAAAACTATTTACATCAGTGAAAAATTCGAAGAAAAAGAATTCTTATTGCTAATAGAAACAAACAAAACAAATAAAAGAAAACTATTTACACTAGATCCAACATTACCTGATGTCTTTAAAACCATTGCTGTCAGGCACTGAAGATGGAGCAACCTAAACCAGAAAGACGAAATGCTGAATAAATCCTTCAAATCTTGCATTCAGATGATAATGTTGAGGCAAACAAAATGACACAGAAAAAAACTAAAGGCAAACATCCTTTATTCAGATTGGCTTAGAATATTCAATGGCCAAAAAGTTCCTATGTTCCGATTGGCATAATATTCATGTCAAAATTAAATCCATTATCTAGTTTACCCATTTTGGTCAACCAGGTTACTCAAAAGTCACCCTGCCCACAAAATACTAGGGGTTATATAACCACATTAACTTCTTAGTCATCAACAACATTCAACGTAGTGCTATCAAATGAGAAAGAAACATAGTAAGATGATTTCCTAATAACTTGACCAGTTCAAGAGACACACCATCTTTTTAAGACAAGAATCATAGAAGCATGTTCCATGAGGAGTTTCACTAGGCATAGACTAACATTTGCAAAAGGACAACTAAACTCTACATTGCTACCATTAATTCTTTCTTCTATTTAAGAGTCTGAAGCACCACCATGTGCAATGCATCCTTCAAAGTGCTCAAAGTAAAGCATGTGTTTAATTATAGACAGAAAAGTTATACATAAATATATGGGTAGAAAAAGAAGAAAATTGTACCCAACCTCAATTTGACCTTCTATTTCCCCTGATAAATTCAACCAACAATAAAAGATGTGTGCAGTAATGAAACTAGTCCAACGTATATGAACTGAAAAGTCACACTTAGAAAGGGGCTTCCTTGACTCAAAGCATATTACCAAACTTTTGTAAGGCTACCTCTAAATACGTATGTACAATTGAACAAAGCAAATCACACCAGAGTCCAGAGAATGAAAGATTAAGTAAATGTTTTGTGAAAATCGCAACTGCCCATTACCAATTTACCACAACAAGCAACAACAAAAAACAGAAAAGTAGAAACCTCGGGAGTTGAAGAAAGGGGAAGGCCCTTAATCGGAGGAGGAAGAGGAGATGGTGCCAAGTTGTAGGTGGGTCTTATCAATTGCAGTGAAATAGGCTGCTGAGGAGGGAAATTGAGTAAGGGCCGAGATGGGTAGGCAGCTCCAGCTCCTCCTCCTCCAGCGTTGGCCACAGTGACTGTGTGTTCGCCTCCGGCAGTGGCGGGCCAACTGGGCCTGGGAATGAAGCCTCGGCCTGAAGAAGCCACTGGGTAAAGAACCCCCTGATTGTGATGTGCTGCTGCTGCTACTGGTGATGCTGATGGTGATTGGGTTCGAATTGGGAGGGCTTGGCTTGGGTACAGATTAGGCGGAACAGGAGAAGATGATATGGGTCTTATAGGTCTCGTGGTGGTTGTGGGGACAGTGGAGGTGGCTGTGGTGGTGGCCATGGCGGCAGTGGCTGTAGTGGTGGTGTGGTTGGGATCTATGGCCATGGCGGCAGTGGCGGGGAATTTTGGGAATTTGGTGCGCTTTGGTTTTTAATTTTTGAATCTTAAAGAAAAGTTCCCACTGCTCACCCACCCAAACTCTCTTTATTTATCTTTATCATATTTCTTTTTTTGTTGCTTAAATATCCTATTTTTTATAACTGTTTTTAAACTCAGCTTCAATTTAACACGTGATTAAACTAAAATTTTAGGTTAAATTCCTTTTTTCTCGCGCCTACCAGCTTAAGCACCTGATTAAACTAGTACCGCCAGATTCATCCAACGGCTCACTTGCCGCCCTTGTTAAACTCATATCATATATAATCAAATATTAAAAGCTGCTCAATGGACTATTTTACCGTTGGGGGTTAAATATAAATAAGCTTTTTATCACAAATGGTCCTTGAGGTTTGTGAAATTATCATATTTTGTCCTTTATATTTTTATTTATGACATTAATAGTCCTTAAAGTTACTTCTTGTACATCAATTTGGTCCCTATAAATAGGTCCTTATAAAAGATTAAGCTAACAAGTTAAGAGAACAAATTCTATTACCTTTCTTTTCTCTTTTCTCTCTACAATTTCCCTTTAGTTTTATAACACAAAGGTAATTTTGTGTTACTCGAAAATTTTACAAAACATCCATATATGTACTATATCAGCAAATTATATAGTTTTTAACAAAAACTCACAGCATGGACTATTCATAAGCACTCATATTTTAACATTGAGGATCACAATTGACACAAAAAAAAATTTTAAACACACAATCTGATAGTTTCACCAATCTCATGAATATTTTGTGATAAAAAGCCTTTACTAGCCTTTTGAATTTGGATCAGGCACATGTCAATAGGCTTCTTTATCTATAGCGAATATTTGAAAACCTAATTTTTTTTCTTTTTTTTTGTCATTAAAAAAAAAATTTTCAATCTACAAGTATGAAACACAGCCCAGAACCGAAGGGAGTTGGCTGAAAAACTCAAAGCCCAAGATCTAAACAAGCAAAGCCCAATTTGGCCTACGACTACAACTACTAGCGCCTACGACTTTCCAGCCTGAGTCCAAGTATCGTTGGACAATAGATTCTTTTTCTCTATTTGACAATTTCATTGGACAATAGCCTAGATTTTAAATAAGAAAGACTCCAGCAAGTCTTCCTTCAACTCTGCAACTCTCTCTCTCTCTCTCTCTCTCTGTGAAATTAGAAGCTTATTTTGTGCCTGAAACATGATAATTGTTGATGGCCTTCCCTTTTCCACAGACACTTCTGCATCGCCTCAGGTACTCTCTCTCTCTCTCTAGTTATATGTAGATATACATTCTAATTTTGTTATTTTTGTTTCTAGAACTTCAAATAACTATATTTTTCGGAAACAGAATCGTGGATTTCTTCTGACAGATTAATGGGTTGCACAAATTCCTGTGCTTCGCATCGGCCAGAAGAAATTTTTTGTACTTTTACGTAATACATATGTAATATACCTTAAAACTTGTATTTATGAACAGGGACGGGATATCCTGGCTGCTTTAATGGAACACCCTGCATTGGTATCTGCCTCAAATTTGTTCAAGGCTATACCAGAGAGGAGATTCTCAGTACCTAAAGAGTCAGGTCCAGAGAAAACACCACCTAGTAAATGGGTTTATCTATTCCAGAGAGAATATGCAACTGTTGATCCTGCATTGGTGGATGTATGTATATTTCTTTATTCTCTGAGGCAAACATTTGAGAATGTATGGCATGAAATTTTCATTTATACAGGAGAGAGAGAGAGAGAGAGAGAGAGAGAGAGAGAGAGAGAGAGAGAGAACTATCAATATATTTGCAAACACACTGAATCAATATGTTTGCCCTTCCTCCGAAAGTGAACTATCATGTTTGCAGCCTTTAAGAGAAGAATGCAATTTTTAATTGATTTTCTCATGTTATTGCTTGTCATTAACTGAGTACTTTTGTGGCAATTAAGGTTTTTTTAGTAGCAAGAGTACTATTAATTATTCCTTCACTAACTTCAATTTCTTCTTCTCGGTCTTCCCCATGAAAAGTTTGTTGGCACTGATGAAGCAACAACCTGTGTCGGTGTTGCCATTCGGAATCCAGGAAATGGAATGTAAGAATTGGTTTTATTGGAGATAATTTGTTTTAAGATCTTACCGATTTTCAAAGAGTTCTTTCATGTTTGGTTCTGCTTTTGTCATTGATTAATGCTACAGGCGCCAAAACAAATCCCAAAATTTTGGACTCAAATTGATGTGGTAGTGTTTCATATGTTCATAATTGAACCCATTCTAAATCTCATTTAATTGTACAAGTAAGATATTATCATGCAATCTACCACGCCATTTGGTGACTAAAATTGGGAAAGTTTTGGTGCTCTAGTACTATTGTTTCTCATTTAGTTTTCAAACTACAGGACCTCAGTTGCTCATATGGATTCTCCAAAAATTGTGGACATTGGTCTCTCCCAAATGTTGTCACTCCTTGTTGACCACAATAGTGATATGGAGTTTGATGTATTTTTCTTTTATACCTGAAATAATTTGTTACGTAAATGTGTATATTTTATGATTTACCCCGTATAATATAGCACAAATGAAGGAATTTTGCATATCTACACAATGCAGGTGCATCTGGTTGGTGGCTTTGAAGATGTTTCACCTAATGTTTGGCCCCAGATCCTCTACTTTGTTATTGATTTTCCAGAAATGTAGTTATCTACTCAGAAACAGAATAATTGAAGCTGACATGCATTGAACTTTGTGTGCAGCATGGTAACTGCAACACAAGATCAGAAAGTCAGGAAAAGTTGGCTGGTTATTCCTTTCCTTTATGTGCCAAAATTGTTGAAACTCTATGGAATAGACAGGAAAAGTTTCACATCCGAACTCTCTTCATTCTTGGGCATAACACTAGAAGGGATCTTGAGGGAAATGCATACCCTATTTTCAATGGGTTCATGGTTGGCTTCAACTTCATGAGTTGCATATCAATTTATTGTAAGCCTTATCTTCACTTAAGATAATATCCTTCACTTTAATCAAATTTTTACACTTTTTTCAGGTAGGAACTTCAACCGGATCTATTACTCCAGCCACCTTTGACAGAACCTCAAGATGCCCTGATGAAATTGTCAGGAGAATTCGAGTTTCTGCATCATACGAGGACTCCAGTTGGAAAGGCAAGTTAATGGAAACATATGATACTCAAACTGACCAATTCAAAATAGCTCCATGCTGCTGGTAAGAGTTTTACATTATCGATTATGCCTTCAGCTTCAATTCTCCACAACATATATTTGCTCAGAAAACTCTTAGAGCTGTGTTCAACTATGCCAGAATAGTCATTAATTTTGTAATTGTTTATAGTATATCCAGGCTCATTTACTCGTTATATTTATGCTTTGCACTAATATTTCCCATTAATGCAGGACCCTACGTCAACTACGTATTTCCTTGTCACTACAAGGTTATTCTGATTCAGAAATCCTCCTTATGTGTTCTACTTCTCCTTCTGCTGAGGGCCCAGATTTTGTGGAAAATATGAGAAGGTATGCACAACCAAAATTAGACCTGTCTTACAGTTCTCAGTGGTCACACACAAAAGGAAAAGAAAAAAAACGAGGATATTTGTACATTATAAAAGGAAAAGGAATAAAGGGGATGACTAAGAACTCTACAGCAAGTTGATCACATTAGATGCATTGAAGTATTTACTTTTTCTAGTTTGGGACATCATACCTTTGTATTTCTTAAACAAACGGATAGTGTTCATTCCATACAATAAGATTAATTTCCAGATGCTCCAACTATTATGATAATCCTGCGGAGAAATCTATGCATAATAAAAGGATAATGTTAACTTCCTCTTCGCCTCTTCAGGCAGTGGGAATACCTGATTGAACACCCAGATTGGAGAGAAACCTTTCCTATGAAGCAGCCACGCATATTTGAGAGAAATGCTGAAAGAGGCTGGAGAAGGCAAAAGGCGCTGATACCATAGGAGGTTTTTTCTCTTATGCAGTACATATATTTGTATTCTTCCTGTGTCTCTCTTTTCTATGCCCCCCTTTACTGGCAAACCAACTGGATCCATGTATTTTTCCTTGCACCAAATTTGTTAATTTTTCCTTCACCATAATTTCTTCTTCTTGGCCTTCGCCATGAAATGTTTGTTGGCACTGACAAAGCAACAACCTTTTTGGGTGTTGCCATGGGAATGGAATGTGAGAAATGGTTTTATTGGAGACATAATTTGTTTGAGATCTTGCTACTGGTTTTCAAAGGGTTCTTTTATATATGGTTTTGCTTTTCTCGTATATCACTACAGATGCCAAAAAAGTCCTAAAATGTTTTCTTTGACAGCACAAGGTAGAAGCTGCAATGAAATGCAATACTAATTTTACACCACACAGGCTGTGCCCTGGTTGACCACAAAGCGTTCACTCTCTTTCTACTGCTGTGGAATTCCACTGTTATTGGTTTTTATTGCCAAGTTGTCGTTTTTTTATCGGTTGGTCAATATGAGTGGTATTCATGTTTAAATCTAAAACATTTTTCGTAAATTGTTTCCACATTTTGCTAAGTGCACTATCGAACACGTTTTGGAGGCGTTCTCTCTTCCAGAAAATGAAAAGGGGTTCGAAAACATAAACGAACGGGCCCTAACACAATCTCCGTATGTTTTTAGTGAGTTTTCCCACAATTTCACAACTTATCATAATACTCTACTAGTAAAATATAAGGGTAATCTTTTTTAAATAATTGTTTTTAGTGTAATTGAAATAGGGGCATAATTTGCACGCTCAAATGCTCTATTACTCTTGAAATTATAGTTAAATTCCACTTTAAATAAGGGCCTAAGGAGGTCCTTAGGACAATGGGCCTGACCATGCCCGTCTCACTCATACGACGATTGGTTCAAAGGGGACAACACGTGGACCATAAGGCCCCACGTGCGCTTCTTCCATGCGTTGCTGGTTGAAAAGGACCAATCAACCCATGAATATTCCACTCACACTTAATTCCATCAAAGGGAGAAACACATGTCAGTCTGTAACTCACCAACCACCCAAAATGTGCCACATAACTAACGAAACTTCAATCCCACATCGAAAGAACACAAAAAAAGAAGCCATCCTCTCAAGTATAAAATAGGCGTACTTTTCCACCTAAAAGATAATATGAACTTCCTCCATTCCGAATACAATACTTTTCTTACCTCTCCTAAGGGAAACACTGAATTAGGCATCGAAGGGTGGTTGGTGGCTCTTCCACCATTGCTTTTTAGTGACCATTCCTTGTTTTCTTGCAGGAATTGTGGTTGGAATCCCACCCTTACTTGGCCATTGCAAGTAAGATCAAACACTCTACTATAATTGGTTGTGCAAATTTCGCGCATTAACAAAAGTTTTCCACTGCATATGCCAAAAAAAAAATTCTAACTTTTCTCTCTCTTCAAATAGCTCGGTTCCTCTATCTCTTATCTCTTTCCCTTTCTCCTCTCTCTTTTCCTCTCTTTTCTCCTCTTATCTCCCACAACCCCATCTTTGCCACTATTGGATTGCCAGATTTGGCCATATATGCTCATCTCCTCTATCGCATTCTCTTCGTATGGTCCTCTCCATCGTTGCCACCACCTTTATTCTCACTGAAACTAAACCAACCCACACTAGTTTCTTGGTGAACCGATCGTTGTGGTTTAAGGCTTGTCCTTTGGAAAGTGTACACTAATTAGGTCGGTTTGGTGGCCAGTCTCACCTTATCGGTCCAACTTGGTTTAGTTGCCTAAGCCTAATAATTCGTATTAAAGTTATGACATACAATTCACAATTTGACTAGAAGAAAATTTCATTACTAAGTTCCATATAAAATTTAAAAACTATTACCAAACAACTTTTAAACAATTTTCCATTTGTTTGAAAACTGAAAACAATTACCAAAGAAGTTTCATGTTCTCAGTTTTTCACAAATGAAATCTGGAATGACTATCAAACGACCTTAAAATACTTGTAAAAATCATCAATTTTGGGAGAGTGTAGATCTCTTTAAAAGGCACGAATGTTGAAGTTAATCAAAAGAGGTTGTAGATATTTCTAAGTATTATGAAATTAATCAAGGGGATTTCACTAAAACACTCAAAATGGGGGTTGAAATTATAAAAAAACCCAAGCACTATTTAAACATATAAACACACCCAAAACCCATCATTACACACACTCAAAACCCATTTATAAACACACCCAAAAAGTTGACTTTGGGGTTGATTTTGGGTGTGTTTCTATGTTTAAATAGTGCTTGGGTTTTTTTTTATAAATACATGTCTAGGATTGGGTTTATTTATAAATTTGTAATTAATCAATATACTAGATACTTGATTTGGTTGAGAAACAAGAAAGTTATCTTAAAAAGAATTTGTGAAATGTTTTGGAGTTTAAGCATGTTGTGACAGCCACTTTGGGACTTTTAAAAAAAAAAAAAAAAAAAAAAAAAAATAAATAAAAATACATTCTCAAAATTCATCATTTTAAAAATGACACCACCTCCACCTCCACATCCACCACCTTCATCACCTCTACTACCACCACCACCACCACTACCATCACCACCACATCCTCCTCCTCTACCACCATCACCACCGCAACCACCACATCCTCCTCGACCTACACCATCACCGCCACCACAACCTCCATCATCTCCATCATCACCACCACCACTATCACTACCACTACCACAACCACCACCTCCACCTTCATCACCACCACCACCACCACCTTCACCTACATCTCTTTCACCACCACCTCTACCACCACAACTACCACCACATGATTAGTGCATAACACTTTCAACATCATGTCTATTTTAGTCATTATTCACACTTACAACAATTTCATATTAAAATTTACCAAACAGTTTTGGCACTACTTTTGTACTAACGCCACTTTAAAAATATTGTTTATCAAACATGGAGCTCATTTACTTTACAACTAATTATTTTCAAAGCATAGATTTTAGTGACAATCCCAAACTGGCCCTTATACTAGCAAGAGAGAAATAAAGAAGAAGAGAGGAGGAAGAAAAGTGAGAAGAGGAAGAAGAGAGAGAGAGAGAGAGAGAGAGAGAGAGAGAGAGAGAGAGAGAGAGAGGAGAGAGGAAGAAGAAGAAAGAGAAAGGAGAGAGTGGCGTGTGATTTGGGATATTAGGTTTAGATGTGTGCTCATAGACTTTTTGTTTAACTCAAAAATGGGCAGCTGGACTTGGGATAGTTAGACTTATAGTTGGGAGGTTGGGGTGGGGTTTTTTTTTTTTTTTTTTTTTTTTTTGTTTGTTTGTACAGAGAGGGGCTAACTCCAAGGAAAACAAGGAAAGGAAATTAAAAATAGAGGAGATGGGGCCTGGAGTCTCCCCTTGTATCAGCAGCCAGGATGTCTATAATGCAAGTTGGCACCCCATCAAAGATATGCAGACCTGGATTAAAATAAAAAAATTTGGCAGCCAAAGCATCAGCTACACAGTTCTGTTCATGAAAGATGTGTCTAACTGAGCAATTCTAATCATCACTCATTTTTAATTTGCAGCAATTAATGATGCTAAACAAGGGGTGAGTAGGAATAGTGAGAGTATTAAGTAGTGACACTGCAACATTTGAATCACTTTCCACTTCCACAGTTTGAAACCCATAGTCCCAAGATAGGGAGAGTCCCCAGAAAATACCTCACAGTTCAGCCTTTAGGACAAAGCCAATTCCCAAGTTCAAAGAATAGCCCTTAAGCCAAGCATCAGTTGCATATCTTAACACACATGCAGCCCCAATATGACCCGTAGTGTTATTCCGACTACCATTTGAGTTAATCTTATAAACTCCAGGACTGGGACTATGCCAAGATAGATGTGTCAAAGTTTGATTAGAGGATCCTGTAATTGGTTTGTTGGCAAAATACCACTCGTTAGCATACTGGAAGATAATTTGTCTTTGGGTTGGCTTGCATAGTAAAATTTTGGTAAAAAACACCTTTGCATCTCCATTTCCAAATAAACCATAGTGATAACGTAAATATCAGATGTCAAGGTTGCCCATGATTTACCTTCCTGTTACTCTTCAAATTAAGCAAAATCCAATCATCAAAGTCGAGAGAGCCAAAATCCCCAATATCAACGCCAATGCTATTCCAGGTAGCAATAGAAATAGGACAGTCTTTGAACAGGTGCTCAATAGTTTCCATAGGAGCAGCACATCTAGGACAATTAGGGATCTGAGTGAGACCTCTTTTATGTTATTACACATTTGTAAGTAATTTCTTGTTATAGAAAAGCCAGAGGAAGGTTTAAGTCTTAGGAGGAAGGTGCAGCTACCAAATAAACTGCCATGCCCACTTAAAAGTGGGATCATTAATATGGGTTTTTTTACTTGGGCTAGTGAAGTAGTTGGATAAATAAAAATAAAAATAAAAATTATATCACCGGTCAAGTTCAATTCAGTCTGATTTTTACTGACATAAAGCTGGAATTAGAATCGGTTTGATTTGTTCGGTTTTTTTTTCAATCAATTTTGACATTTTTAGCCAATACGGTTTGGTTCAACTATGTTTTCCGATTTGAATGCACACCCCTACTTTAAGCACAAATGCAATCTTGGCATGTGCTTGTACATAACACTCTCCTCTACTGTAGCATTAAAACTTAGTCTACGAATTATAAGGGTCAGTGCGCTTGAAAACCCAAAATCATCCCTCCGCGTGAAATGTTTTGCTCGAGTAATAACGGGCTTCGCCGCATAAGTACTGTATGATTGCTAATTTTTTCACCACATGGGTCGTCTTGAGACACTCAGGCTATGACAACACGATGATTCGATTTGGGTGCAATTTTACCCAAAAAAAAGAAGTAGGTTTTGATCCAAGGAGTCCGGGTCTGAGTTTGGGCCTGGGTCTGGGTTTGGAGGAGTGGATAATTGGAGACCAAATCCAAAAAGAACACGTACTGTAGGAGAGAGAGAGAGAGAGAGAGAGAGCGTGTGAATATTATGTGAATAGGGATAACATGGTTAATTAACGGTTACCCAATTTCTATTTCTATTTCTATTTGCGTGCTGGAGATCACCTCCCTCTTAGGCTAGCTTTAGCCTTTCGGGAGGTAGTAGGCCCCACCCCACTACATCTACATCTTTTATATATATATATATATATATATATATATATGCATAACATAAACACAACAAAAGAAAAAAGAAAAAAAAAGCTACCCATCCACCCAATCCAAGAATAATAACAACAACAATTACAAAAATCTATTTTGTTTTAGTAGGTTAGGTGTTTAATTTAATTAATTAAACCCAAAAAGCAAAGACAAAATAAAAAATTGGAAAAATAAAAAATAAAAAAGACGGTACTAATATTTGAAAGCACAAAATGGAGGGATGAGAATGAAATATATATATATATTGAGATTGAACAATATATATGATATGATGATATAAAAACCAGACGCAAACACAAACTACAATCCCGACTTAGAGAGAGAGAGAGGGAGATAGGTAGAGAGGTATCCTCGTCGTCATGATGGAAGGGGCCACTGGCGGCACTGCTACTCACGATGCTACTACTACTCATACGAATAATAATAACAGCAATAATAGTGAACCAGAATTACAAGACCAAACGACGACGTTCACGTCTTCCTGGGGGACATGGGAGGAGCTCTTGCTAGCATGTGCCGTGAAGCGTCACGGCATCAACGACTGGGACAGCGTCGCCATGGAACTCCAAGCCAAGACCTCTCTCCCTCACCTCCTCACCACCGCCTACAACTGCAAGCTCAAGTATCACGACCTCCGCCGCCGTTTCAACTCCCGCTGCTCCTCCCAACATCAAAACGACGACGTTGCCCTCCCCTCCCCCCCATCACCAGACCATCACCACCACCACCACGATCCTCCTAGTATTCCCTGGCTCGACGACCTCCGCAAACTCCGCGTCGCTCAACTCCGTCAAGAGCTCCATCGCAACGACGTCTCCATCGTGTAATTCTTTATATCTTTTTATATTATTTTGTTTTTGGAAAAATTTTCACGTAAAATTTTAGATCTGAGTTGGTTGTCTTAATTAATTCTCAGGTCGTTGCAGTTGAAGGTGAAGAGGCTGGAGGAAGAACGAGAAGATAGCTCCAAGGATGACGAGGCCAAGCCAGATCTGGAGGAGGAGGACTCCAAGGGACACAGATCAGAAAACGACAAAAATATTCGAGACGAACCGGACCGGTCCAAACCGGACCAAGAGAACCAGTCGGTGAACGGCTCCAATTCAACCTGCTCCAAAAGTCTGGACAATAAGCCCGGCCGGGAAGACCGCGTCGCATCGGAACCCGAACCGCACCCGGTTCCGGACGGTTCGCGCGAACCGACGAAAGGGACGGGGGGCGGTGGACACTCGGAGTCAGAGTCGGATAAAGGGAGCTCGGAGACGGTGGCTAAGAAGCGGAGCCGCGAAGGGAAAGGCGGTGGTGACTCGGCGGGTGAGATGAGGGAGAGTAGTGAGGCGCAGAGTTCGGCGAGCTTGACGAGGAAATGGAACAGGAAACGACGTCGCAGAGTGGAGGTGCCAGAGCAGCAGCGTAACAACGAAGAGTTATTGTTGGTGAAATCACAGCCGTTGGTTGGGGTCCTGCAGATGATCCGAGCGCACGAGCATAGCTCATTGTTCGAGCGACGGCTTCCCACCCAGGTATTTTACTTATTTTACAATTTGATTATTTTCGTAATTCCATTTCTTCTTTTCCTTTTATTTTTAAATTCTTATTTTATTCGAATCCAAACACTGTTAAACATGCATGCACCAAACCAAATTAAAAATACCAACTTAAATTTTCATTGACAATTTTATTTTAAAAGTTTGAGTATATAATTTGGCCATGGTTATTCCTTTTTTGGTTAAAACCGGACTTGTATGAGGCAAACAAGTGGTCGTGATGTCTCCAATAATTTGGGACCACTCCAAAATGGTTTTCAACTTTTTGTTGGTTTCAGTAGTAAGATGAAAAATACGCATGCGGCTGAAATTACTGACTTCTCTCCAATGGGGAATAAATATCTATCTCCTGCTCCTAGGGTCTAGGATTTTGCATGCAATTCTCTAACATTATTGGTGGAATTTACTACCACTACATTTTTTTTAGATACACAATCTTCTACTTAACCATGAATTTTTTCGATAGCAGTATTAGAGAAGTGGTATATAAAATGTGGTCTTAACAAAATATTTTATCCAAAATTTAAATATCAATGGTATTTAAAGAAAAAATGTAAGTTTTGCTTAATTAAAGAAAAAGGGTATACATAAATGTTGGTGGTGTTAGTTATATCACATGTATGGTGTGTTGGAATTTCACAAACAATAATGTTAGAGCCACCTAATTTTTGAAGTTTTAATTACTAAATGATGCAACATTTAATCTGTCATGTAAGTCTGTTGTTGAAAAAAAATGATGGTCAAGATTGTTGTAATATGAACAAATAAAGTAGGCGTACATTGACTAAGCCAAGTTGGTTGGAGGAATGTGCTCCTTACTCTGCACTCGAGTTCAAATTCTTTTTTTTGTAATTTAAATTAAATTAAAATAGAATATCACTTTTATGAAAAAAGAAAAAAGAAAAAGCTATATATATAAAGTAAAAGACAGAGAATGGTAAAACATTCAAAATACCAAAAAATGCCATTGGTTAATGCAAATATTAAGAATTGAAATTATTAATTAAATTAGGATAATATGGTAAATTTACATTTTTTTCATATTAAAAAATTAAAATTAAAAGAAAAATAAGATAATATATCATATTTTATGGAACACAACTATCCATTATTTTTTTAATTCTAAAATAAATTTTAAAAACCATTATCTTTTTTAATTCTAAAATAATTTTTTTTTATATAAAAAAAGCTTCTCGTAGGTGCGGAAACGCGTACGAAGAGACTAGTATATATATATGTCAGATCGGTTGCAATTCAAAATTTTAGGATTTGTGTTGGTGTTTAACATGTGTTGACAAATTCAAATACAGTTTTTTGTTTTTGTTTTAAAAAACAAACAGTGATTTTACTGTTGACTTAAAGATATTTGGTATAAAATCCAAGAAAAGAAATATGGTTTGTACTTTTGCTTATTGCGTAAGATCCGTAAGGGTCGTGGAGCCTTCTACTCAATTTACAAATTTATAAAACAAAACGTGTCATACAAATGCGACCACCATGGATGGACCCCATGAGGCTCGCATCTCACCTCTTTTCATTCAGATTGTTTTCTTATTCTTTTAATCTTGGCATATTCTTTTGTTGCTATATACTTTTTTGTATGTATGTATGCCAGGGAAATACTCTGTTCCCTTCATTTAATTTTTTATATTGCAATATGGGCCCTCCGAGGTCTTACATAGGCCCATAGGGTGGGAACTGTTTCTTTTTGGGTCTGAGGTGGATTGTGAATTTGTGATAACACAATAGCAGTTTCCCTATAGAATGGGCCCTTGTTTTTGTTTGTTGAGACCTGCTTCAATGTCCAAATCAAAACATTTGGGTGTTGACAACATTTTTATTTCAGGTGAATCCCATACACATTGGTGGGGCCCTCTTTTATTAAAACGATGGTTAGCAACGTAATCGATAAATGTGATACAAATAGTATTATTATTTGGGATAAACCTGTTTTGTCAAATTTATGCATACCAAAAGTCGCATTTGGACTGTTGTAGAACATGCATGGATTTTGTGTTTCTCAGTTTGTCACTATTTTTTTTTGTTGGTAATAATTTAACCATAAGGTTTTTAGTGAGAATGAAAATTTTAAAACGAAAGCGAAGCATTATGATGATGTGGCTGCATGTACAGGAAAGTGACAAGTACAAGAGCATGGTCCAGCAGCATGTGGACTTGGAAACAATACAAAGCAAGCTCCACAAGGACGCGTATTCGTCTTGCGCTCTTTCATTCTACCGAGACCTGCTGCTCCTCTTCAACAACGCCGTCGTTTTCTTCCCCAAATCCTCTCTGGAGTCGCTGACTGCTCACCAGCTTCGACGCCTTGTCTTAAACGAAATGAAGAAGAATAATCTAATCACTAGACCACCCCCCAACCCTTCACCTTCATCTGAGCCATCAGATTCATTGCCTGCTGCTGCTGTACATGCACCACCACCCACCACAACTCCACCTTGTCCTCCTCCTCCAACACAACCGCCCAAACGTCCTGATCAGCTTGAAAGATCAGACTCTTTGCTTGCCAAGCACAAGTCAACTGCGCCCATCATCGTCTGCCGGAAACGAAGCTCCATTTCATCAAAGCCTTCTGCTGCTGCTTCTATCTTTGATGTTAAACCAAAGGGTGAGCAGCAGCAACCAAAACGACAACAAGGTGACGAGAAAAAGAAAGCGGCAGCTTTTGATGTTAAAACTCCCATTAACAATAACAAGGCCTCTTCAAAAGATGATGTAGCGGAAGAGCATAAGGGTGGTGGTGCTGGTGCTAAAGCAAAAGACAATCCTGTAACTACTGGAACCAGAAGCTCAAGAAGGACTCATCACGAGAATAATAAAAAAGATGGAAGTGGTTCCACCAAGAAACAAACGGAAACTCCGAAAGCGGATAAGAAGTCGAAAACGGAGGCAGCAGCGTTGGACAAAAAGCGAAGTGCAGCAGCGGATTTCTTGAAGAGAATTAAGCGCAATGCACCTGCGGCAGACACATTGAAGAGCGGCAGTGGCAGTGGAAGTGGCACTAGTACTAGATCAGGTGGAGGAGAGCAGAAGAGGAGAGGAGGTGGTAAGGTTGACAAAGTCAAAGAAAGGGTGTTAAGGCAAAGTGGCGGTGATAAAAAGAAACAAGCCAAGGAAGAAAGCAGCAGTCCATCCAAGCGAAGTGTAGGAAGGCCGCCCAAGAAGGCGGCTGCCGAGACGGCCAACGTAGTAGCTTCATCAAAGCGGCCCAGGGAAAATGGGGGGAAGCAGGAGGCTTCTAGGCGGCCTAGAAAACGCTCTAGAAGGTAAATTAAATTAATTGGCAGCATGGTTTAGAAATTAAACAAGAATTAGGCAGATTGTAATTGTATTCCCATGGTTTTTTTTTCTTTCTGTGGATATATTTCATATGTATACTATTAGGAAGGATTTGTTATTTAAGTAGTACAATGCAATCACTGTTTCTATCGTCTGTTTTACACGCCGGAAAACCCGATAATATTACATGTAACAGAGAAGTTGATTTGAGTTGGAAGGTTATCAACTTCAATTCTAACAGAGAAGTCATCTAAGTTTGTTTTGCATCCCTTTCTCGCTCTCTTTGAGATTTGAGACTTAACCTGCAAGAAGAAGAAGAAGAACATGAGCGATGCTGATAAAAGTGGACAATGAGAAAATGAACTGAAATATTTTCTGTATATTCCTTTACCCGTGCCCTGCTATCATCCAAGTCATAAATTTTGGCAAAAGATACTGCAGAAATGCCTGACCCATTCGAAATGCAAGTTGCGTTATCTGCAGAGCTGAGAGATGCTGCAACCACAAGAACAAATAGAAATATGATGACATTTAATTAATTAATTTCTTTATTTTAAATAGAAAACTAAGACCAGTTTGACGAAGGAAACGGGGTGGAGAAAACTCACAGCCAGAGGACCAGTTTTAAACTGTGTGTAAGGTTGATACATAGCAAGCATTTTTGATGCCATTCGGGTGGCTGCATGCACTACACCAACACGCCTTATTCTTTTCTTCGCGTATCTAACCAACCATCACACAAAAGTTTGTGAAGTAATTTTTACAACGCCTCAAGATTTAAACCTACAACTACAACTTACTGTCTTAGTGCCAAGCAAATTGCATCTGAAATTTGAGCATCTGAGCCGGTATTGGGAACTTGATCAAGCTCCTGTATAAGCTGGTAACAGTCCTGCACATAAATGAGTCAACATGGGAGCTCATGAGAGACAACTCATTCCGTTTTTCGGATACGGAAACGATAAAATGGACTAAAAAGACCGATACCTCAATTGCCATGCAACCCCCTTGCCCAAGATTTGGCTGCAATGGATGAGCAGCATCGCCTAGCAGAGCAACACGCCCGATTCCCCATGAGTAGATCATGTCTCTATCGTAGATATCTCTCTGTAAAATCATGGGCTCTGGTGTTTCCTGAATTATAGCAACCACTTCATCACACCACTTTCCAAATTTCTCCTCCAGAAGCTTCTTTTTACCTACAGGATCTAGAAGCCTAAAATTTAGAAAACTGGAAGAGCTATGTTCAAATCTAATAATTAAATGCATTAATTTATGACAAGTTTCCAACAGAGAAAGAGAGTGTGTGCCTCCAGGAGGATCAGTGCTCATAGGCGGCTGCTTATGGAAGGCAAACCATTGCATATTCCCATTCCCAATATCTAAGGCAGCAAAGTATTGGTTCAATCCCAAGAAGACCCGACACCTACGAATCAAGAACGCACAGATAGTGAATCAAAACCATCCATCTACTGACTTTCATTTGTCCATTTTTTCAGTTCAGCTAGTCAATATGAACCATGTAACATATAATATACCCGACACTATCAATGTATGGCGGAACAAATTTTGTTATTCCACTGTAGCATGTGTAATTTGAGTATTTTGCTTCCCGTCTGCCAAATAATTTCGTTCGCACCTGGTAAAAAAAAGAAAACAAAAATAATTATGGAGTTGAAAAGGGCATACATTGGAGATGGCTCAAGGATTAAGAGAGAAATTACTTTTGACCATATTCCATCAGCTCCTACTAAAACATCACCATGATATTGCCGTCCATCTTCAAGGATCACCGTGACCTAATTAATAATCCACGGAAAGAAAGAAGCTGAGAAATTTATACTGGTGGTTTCTGAAAAGTTTTAGAAACTAGAATATTAGTCAAAAATTAATTCAACCTTGCTAGGCTCTTCAATGAAGTCCACCACTTCAGAATTGTTTCTCACAATGTCCAATCCGACTGCATTGACTAAGATATCTTGAAGCTCCATCCGGCATATCACTTGAGTGATAGGAAGCCCCCTACTTACAGCCGGAGACGAAAGATCAAACTTGGTAAACCTGAACCAAAAAGCATAAAAAAAAAAGAAAAAAGAGAGGATACAATTGAGCACTTGATTTAGAGAAACATCTATATATTGAGCACTGGACACAAAAACTAAGAAATCACTTGAAAAATTTCTCAAATAAAACTAACTAAATGGAGAACTAAACAAATAGATCCTTTTATACAGCATCCAATTGCTGTCCATGTATAGTATAGCAGCAGGCTCACATCGTTGGCCCGTTCCTAACCGAATAAGCTTTCGGGGTCTGGTGATTGTCTAATATGGTATCAAAGGTGAGGCTGCAGTTAATCCTTATATGCACGTCAGGAAGGAGGGTGTTGGTTTGATATAAAAGCTTAAGCCTTTTGGGTTGAGTGCTTATCTGACAAGTTGGAACCAAACTGAAAAATTTACTTAAAAATAACAGTAGGCTTACCATTCACCTGAAACTCCATCTACAAAGCCATTGGTCCTATTGCCAGTAACACAACCTGCTGCCATGATTTGTTTTGCAACATTCTCATCAATGGCTTCCAGCACGGCCAGAGCGCTACTCATAAGCTGAATCGGTCCGCGGTGTTGTCCCTCCCCTCTCACTAAACTCAGGTCTTTCTCAAACACCTCTACTTCAAATCCTCTGTGTTTTGCTGCCAATGCTAAAACTAGCCCCCCAATACCCCCACCGGCAATTAGAATTTTAAGCTTCCTTTTGCCATCCTTCTCTTCATCTAAAGTTGGATCAAGACTACTTTTACATCTCACACAATAGCTTCTGATCTTACTGTATTTTTTTGCCCTAAAATCAAGAATGCCATAGCTCTGGTTTTGGATGCATGAATTAAGGTACTGGAAAGAGGCCAGCATTGTTGACCAGAAATATTAATAGAAATAGGATGATCAAAATTGTTTAGAGCTAAATAATTCATATGTATATGTAGCAGCCAACTGATCATATAACATGAAAGATAAAAAATAAAATAAAACTAATTTTGGTATTGTCATGATTCATAAAATCCCATAATTATTATGTACATGGGTTTTTTTTTAATTTTCTATTTAGCTACCGTCCTGCCCAGAAAGTGGTGTAAATAACTGGGGAAAGGAGCTTGTTCAAATCAAACAAGTCAGAAAGTCAATTACCATGTGCTTAAGATCAGATCAGGAGGACAGAAACCTTACTTATTTATTGTGGTGTACCGAACGATATGTTAAAAAAATCAATGCTTGCTGTCTTTGGTTTTTGCAAAATACGAAGCAAGTGTTATATCCTCAAATATAGCCAAAAATCCCCAAAATTCTTCTTCAAGAGCGGGTTACACAGAGTTACAAGGGAGGGCTACTCATTAGGCCAATTCCTAAAAATTAGACCACATGTGCCCTTTGCCTAGCCCGAGCTAAATAATTCTATGGGCTTAGCTGACGTCACCTTAGCTATGATGTTGGAGGCACCTCCATTAAAATCATAGTCTAAATTATCGATAAATCGACGAAATATCGAGGATATTATTGTTTATACACATACTCGGAGAAGTAAACAAATAGATTCTTTTATACAGCATCCAATTTCTGTCCATGTATAGTATAGCAGCAGGCTCACATCGTTGGCCCATTCCTAACCGAATAAGCTTTCGGGGTCTGGTGATTGTCTAATATGGTATCAAAGCTTTGGTAAGTTCCAATTTCTTTGTTGGTTTGCAAGGTACGGGGGTGAGGCTGCAGTTATAATTATATGCACATCAGGAAGGAGGGTGTTGTTTTGATATAAAAGCTTAAGCCTTTTGGGTTGAGTGCTTATCTAACAAGCGGAACCAAAGTGAAAAAGTTACTTCAAAATAACAGCAGGCTTACCATGCACCTGAAACTCCATCTACAAAGCCATTGGTCCTATTGCCAGTAACACAACCTGCTTCCATGATTTGTTTTGCAACATTCTCATCAATGGCTTCCAGCACGGCCAGAGCGCTACTCATAAGCTGAATCGGTCCACGGTGTTGTCCCTCCCCTCTCACTAAACTCAGGTCTTTCTCAAAAACCTCTACCTCAAATCCTCTGTGTTTTGCTGCCAATGCTAAAACTAGGCCCCCAATACCCCCACCTGCAATTAGAATTTTAAGCTTCCTTTTGCCACCCTTCTCTTCATCTAAAGTTCGATCAAGACTACTTTTACATCTCACACAATAGCTTCTGATCTTACTGTATTTTTTTGCTCTAAAATCAAGAATGCCATAGCTCTGGTTTTGGATGCATGAATTAAGGGACTGGAAAGAGGCCAGCATTGTTGACCAGAAATAGAACACAATTGCTTGTAGCTCAAGAATTCAAATATAGTCCACAATTCCCAAAACTCGTCTCCAAGAGTGAGCCACAAAAAGGGCTACAAAAAAAAGGGAGGGCTACTCATTAGGCCAATTTGTAAATATTAAGCCATATGTGGCCCTTTGGTCAGCCCAAGCTAAATAATTAGATGGTCCCAGCTGACGTCACCTTAGTTATTGTTAGTATGAAATTGTGTTGGCATTTTCTAGAACTTAGTATTGGTTGGGAAGTGTCATTTAGCTGTAGGTTTGAAGCAAAGTTGCTGTCTCTGATTTCCAAAAACTGCATGATTGAAACAGCTCAGCAATCCCGAATTCCAGAATTGTGACTTAACATGTATGAGACATTTGATTTGAAGGGTAAGACATGTCATTTTTCATGCACTCATAATAGGAACCTTTTTTTGGGAATCTAATATGATTTTATTTCCTTGATCTTCCTTGATTTTAATTAATTAGAATCCATTTAGGAGTGCATCTCATTTAGGCATATTTTGCAATATCTTTTTACTTATTCTTTCTTTATCTTATCCATGATTTGTTACTTATCTTTTAAAGTAATTTACTTGCAAATCAAGTTTTAATAAGATCACATTATTAAAGGTGTGTTGAGATATTCTTGGTAGTTGACCTAAGAATATTAGGACTCCTTTAATGGTGGGATTATCATAAATTTCCTTTATTGGGTTTTTACTTTCCTATTGGTTTTGGGCTTTAAGTATTTGGTTTTGACCCAAATGGTGGGATCATCATTAGAATAGGAAAATATCTTTTTGATTTTATTCAAATCGTGCAAATCAAGTAATTTGGTTTTCAACGTGTTTTCTTTCTTGTAAAGAAAAAGTACCTTTGTCTTCTTTGTTTGGAGAGCTTTCACGATCATATTTTCAATCCATAAACTCTAGAAAGTTGAGTTTTTATTTGAGATAAATCATCAAGTGTTCCATGTTTATTTGGTGATTTATCAAACACTTTTATCATTCATATGCATATTTGGTGACTCATACGATTGAGGGCAAAGATTGAAATATTGGCTGATACACCGATATATCGGTATTTTCAACTGTCGACACCAATACTAGAGGGTAAGGCCATATCTTCCCTTGTATCGATAATATATCCCCGATAAGTGCGATATCCCCAATATTTTGCCGATTTTTCCCCGATACCCATAACATAACCAAAAAACAATTTAGAAGTTTTGAAGGCAATCGAAGCAAATTGAAACCCAAAAATAGCTAATCATTGCCTAGAACCCTATAATTTATTAATATGAAGAATCTATGCATAGTCCACTGCCCACATACCTCCAATCCATCTGAAGAGGACATGACGATCAGTTTTGGATCTATGAGCATAGGAACTAGGTACTAACTCAAATGAATCTTATTATGACTATTGTTATGTCATGTCTGATTATAGTGGAACTAGTTATGGAGCTCAAGATGATAAAATAAATTATAGACCTACTAGTTGGGTTAATCCTAACTATCCCATATATAGGAGGACAGTAGGGAGCTCAAGAGAGATCTATGTGCATCATGTTCAAACACGGCTTACAAACTACTCGAGTTACATGACTTGGTATGACTATTGTATGAATCTAGATGGTTGTTTCTCATTGTTTGAACCTTATAGGAGCTCTTCATTTATGTAGATGGACACTTATCTAAATTGTAATCCAATGTTTAAACAAATTATGGATTTATGCATGGTTTATTCATTCTAATCAACATTTTATTTTCAAACTTTTCATTAATGTACATTACATACCACTTATATTTCATCATATGTATATCTTATTATTAGTAAATTTTGAGTTTTATTTGTTCAATACATTAATTGATAATGTACATAACATCTATGAAAGTTTACACCAAAATTATGTGTTTCAATGCCTATATATGTCATTTTTATTGATTTTTTCATGATACCTAAAACGATAACGATATATCCCCCAAAATATCCCTAAATTGGAGGCCCGATATTATTTCCATGACCGATATTTTAATCCTCGGTTGAGGGCACCAAGACCGTGGTGACAGTTTTCCTTCGGCGAGCTTGAAGCAATTGTGACCAGTATTGCGTTCAACATAAGGAGTGTCAAAGATCATCTCGTGACAGAAGTTGAGTTACGAAGAAGTCGGTAAACATTATCTAAAATGTGTCTAGGATAAGTGTGTGAGTACTTCTTGTAATCATCGTTCTATAGTGAATTCGTGTTGGACTGAGGAGTCCCTTAGATTTTCCCCATAGGTGGGGTTTTATCACGTAAAATAATTTTCTACTTGTTCTTTTATTTTATGCTCAACACGTTTCAGGATTGATAAGCCATATCAATGTTGCTACCAAAGTTTGTTTTTTGTTTATTGATTATAATCTTAAATTGGCCTATTCACCCCCATTCTAGGCATTTTTTAGTCATCATACATGTAATTTCAATTGGCATCAGAGTAGGTTGTTGAACATACTCAGCAAGATCTGACATACCTTAGGATGGATCGTGCAACAAGCTCTGTTGCACATCTACCATATTTCGATTGCAACAACTATGTCGCTTGGAAGGCCAAAATGAAGTCGTTTCTTTGGTCCTTAGATGAACGTGTATGGAATACAGTGGTTCATGGATTTCCTAAACCCACAAAGAAGATCGGAAAAGGAGATGAAGAAACCACAATCCTCAAAACTATAGAGGAGTGACCACTGCAGAAGTCATGCACAACACTAATAATCAAAATGAGTTAAATACTTTATTTACTGTTGTCTCTTCTGATCAATTTGAATATATATCTGGTTGTGATACTTCTAAGGAAGCTTGAGATATTTTGCAAGTTACTCATGAAGGAACAAATACTGTCAAGGGAGCCAAGCTTCAAATGGACACTTTACAGTTTGAGACAATCATGATGGATGAGAATGAAACTATTTCTGAATTTTATGCTAAACTTTGCATCATTGTGAATGCATGTTCAAGTTTAGGTGAAAAATTTCCCGAAGATCGAGTTGTGAAAAATATTTTGAGATCCTTGCCTCAACGGTTTCAACCAAAGATCACAGCTATTGAAGAGATTCATGACTTAAACACCTTAAAAGTTCAAGAACTCATAGGGTCCATACAAACTTATGAGATGAAACATCTAGCTCCTAAAAAGAGCAAAAGTGTTGCTTTCAAAGTTGTGAATGAAGAAGACGATGAGCATTCAAATAAGGATTGCAGTGATGAGGAATTAACGATTCTCACAAAACGATTCATGAACTTTCTCAAGAATCAGGATCCAAGGAGTTGAGATTCAAAAGGTATAAATTCTAAAAATAGGTTTGGTGACTATACTGATGGTGTGTCTAAATCTCGCTGGTCAAATGAATGAAAGAATGTAAGAGAAAAGGTCCAATGTTTCGAATGTGAAGGCTATGGACACATATCTTCGGAATGTGCCAACACCTTAAAGAAACAAAAGGATGGGAAGAATAAGGCACTGCATACTACTTGAAGTGACAATGATTCTGACTCTGAAAATAATGAGAAGGCTATTGCGCTTATCACGACCGTAAGCTTGGATGAACCAACGAAGAAGAATGATGATAAGAATTTTGAGTTAGTATGAAATTATGTTGGCATTTCCTAGAACTTAGTATTGGTTTGGAAGTGTCATTTAGCTGTAGGTTTGAAGCAAAATTGCTATCTCTGATTTCCAGAAGCTGCATGATTAAAACAGCTCAGCAATCCCAAATTCTAGAATTGCGACTTAACACGTATGAGACATTTGATCTGAAGGGTAAGACGTGTCATTTTTCATGCACACATAATAGGAACGTTTTTTGGAATCTTATATGATTTTATTTCCTTGATCTTCCTTAATTTCAGTCAATTAGAATCCATTTAGGAGTGCATCTCATTTGGGCATATTTTGCAATATCTTTTTACTTATTCTTTCTTTATCTTATCCATGATTTGTTACCTATCTTTTAAAGTAATTTACTTGCAAATCAAGTTTTAATAAGATCACATTATTAAAGGTGTTGAGATATTCTTGGTAGTTGACCTAAGAATATTAGGACTCCTTTAATAGTGGGATTATCATAAACTTCCTTTATTGGGTTTTTACTTTCCTATTGGTTTTGGGCTTTAAGTGTGATCATCATTAGAATAGGAAAATATCTTTTTGATTTTATTCAAATCGTGAAATCAAGTAATTTGATTTTCAATGTGTTTTCTTTCTTGTAAAGAAAAAGTACATTCGTCTTCTTTGTTTGGAGAGCTTTCACGATCATATTTTCAATCCATAAACTTTGGAAAGCTGAGTTTTTATTTGAGATAAATCATCAAGTGTTCCATGTTTACTTGGTGATTTATCAAACACTTTTATCATTCATATGCATGTTCGGTGACTCATACGGTTGAGGGCACCAAGACCGTGGTGGCGGTTTTCCTCCAGAGAGCTTGAAGCAATCGTGACTAGTATTGCGTTCAACATGAGGAATGTCAAAGATCATCCCATGACAGAAGTAGGTAAACATTATCTAGAATGTGTCTAGGATAAGTGTGTGAGTACTTCTTGTAATCATCATTCTATAGTGGATTCGTGTTGGACTGAGGAGTCTCGTGGATTTTCCCTAGAGGTGGGGTTTTACCACGTAAAATAATTCTCTACATGTTCTTATATTTTATGCTAAACACATTTCAGGATTGATAAGCTATATCAATCCTACTACCGAAGTTCATTTTTTGTTTATTGATTATAATCTTAAATTGGCCTATTCACCTTGTAAACCGTGTATCCACCTCGTATGTATTGAGACTCACCTGGGTGAGGGGCTGGGTTTGTGCCTGGTCCTCTGTAGGATACTTGCACACTAAGAATAATATCATACCAGGAGCCAACTGGGGTTGATCCCAGTTGAGCCCCCTTCGATGGTTAAGTCAGATACTATATTTTTGGAGGAGTAATGGATGTAGGGTTCATGGGTTCGAAGTGTTTATTACCTTTGTCCAGTGATAGATGGGTGGTATTTATAGGGGAAGAAAGAGAGCTGAAAAACATCCCAAAGAGAGATTTTCCTCCCCCTACCTTCGACGTGGGTTGCATTAAATGCCCTGTCTCAAATCACCATGCTTTCTGACTGGGGTAAGGGCCAAGTGACAGGCGGCATGAGATGGGAGATGCATTAACTGATCCCTTCCCCTCACCTGGCTATCGATCAGGTCAGTGGGGTGATTGACTTGACAGGAGGTCTGACTGCACCTGTGCCTCATTAATGCTCTCCTGGCCGTGTGACGCAAATGTGGTCAGGTTGGTGGATATGGCACTCGGGCTCAACTCTGCCTTTGATCTCGCCGATCTCTAACTAGGGGCTTCCTACCGTACCCGGTATCGAGTGCTCGGGTCAGTGGATAGATAAACCTGCCTGCATATGGTGACGTGGCGCTCTCTAATTGGTTTGGCTCACAATGACAATATAGGCCATTAACACACCTCCCTTCAGGCATTTTTTAGTCATCCTACAAGTAATTTCAGTTATGATCTTGGAGGCACCTCCATTCAAACAAATAAGATCTTGAAGTTCTCTAGACTTGTACAACTAAATTAATTATTGGATTATGATTTTTGTCTGAAACTTTCTTTGGTGGGGGGAGAGGTTCTATGTTGATGACCGCCGAAGCCTGCTTCCATGATCTGTTTTGCAACATTCTCATCAATGGCTTCCATCACCGCCAAAGCACCACTCGGAAGTTGGATTGGGCATCGGTGTTGCCCCTCCCCTCTCACTGCACTCAGGTCCTTCTACATCAAATCCTCTATGCTTTCCTGCCAATGCCATAACAAGGCCCCCAATACCCCCACCTGCAATCAGAAGTTTAAGCTTCCTTTTGCCACCTTTCTCTTCAATGTTAATTAAAATTTGATCAAACAGCCCCTTGTTTTTTGGTTGGAAACTACAGCCTTTGTACACTGAAAATGGAAAGGATTTCCCAGGCAATTGGAAATGGACACGTAGCATAACTAACCATATGGTTCATAGTATTGGTCACAGTACAGACATCTTATATTGCCAGACAAATATTAGCGAAAATTGATTTATAAAATATGCATATTGCAAACGTCACTTTGCAATATGCAAAGTTCTATGTCAGCATAGGTTTTGGTTATTTTGAGTTTTGTGGGCTTTGCTTGAGATCATCCTTAATCGTTTATACGGGCTAGTAGTTGTTTGTATGGCTTTTGTCCGCTTTACTTTTGCTTTTTTAGCATGCTAGTTTTGTCGCCGTTTTGCGCTTGGTGTTAGTTGTATTGTTGAAGGTTATCTAATGAATGAAGTTGCCATTTAAAGATAGTGGAAACTAGGAAGCATATGTATATAATATATGAAAGAAACATTAGTTATGGAATTCAGCAGAGGAATGTTTTATCACACAGCAGCATAACAACTAGACTCCTTTCCTATATCCATCTCCGCATCCGCTATGCACTCCTCTTTCACGCAGAACTTGATGTGAGTTGGAAAGTCTGTACGTTTTTTATAATGATCAGTGACAGATGTTTTTAATTAAATCCTGCTTCCTTTAAAACATTTCACATTTTTTCGAACAGTAGTTGATGCATTTCTCATAACTAGGAATGAAACGAAAAATTGAAGTCATCTAAGGCTGTTTTCTGTCCTGCACTTTGCATTGGTTTCTCTCTCTTTTGAGGCATAACCTGCAGCAAGAAGAGCAACATGAATGATACATGTATGTTTGTTATCTGTTTCAGATATGTCAAGTTTTTCAAGTTCCAATTAAGATTGTTACGTTGAGAGGATATATATATATATATGCAAATGAATTTGACATAGATTTTATTTTTTCTTATTCCTTTACCCATGCCCTGCTGTGATCCAAGCCAAAAATTTTGGCAAACAAATTTGCAGAAATACACGAAATACAGGAATTGCAGGGTGCGTTATCTGCTGAGTTAAGAGATGCTGCAACCACAAGAACAAAATGAAATGAGATACATTTATTCTTTTTTTCTTTCTTTTACATGAAAGTTAGGAAAGGCTTTGAGGAGGTTGAAGCAGGAAACTGTGTGGAGAAAACTTACAGCCAGAGGACCAGTTTTAAACTCTATGTAAGGTTTGTAACTGGCAAGCATTTTTGAAGCAAATCGGCTGGCTGCAAACACTAAGCCAACACGCCACAATCTTTTGTTTGCATATCTGATTATCATCGTGATGTAGCCAAATTTAATAAGCAAGATTGAAGATCTTTTGATTAAACAAAAGTTTGTAAATTCAGTCTATTTCAAGATACAAACCTAAAAATAGGAGTGTGAGACTGGTTTGCAAGAGATAGGGTTTCCTAAAATCTACCTTCTTAGTGCTAGGACAATTTCTTCCGATATTTGAACATCTGAGTCACTTTCGGAAGCTTGAACAAGCTCATGTATAAGTTGGTAACAGTCCTGCACATACAATCTCCCAGGTAATGACTAATGAGCACATGGAAGCTCAAAAAATACCTTAATTTGTTTCCATTTTTCTGACATGCAGGCTGCATGATGCTGCATGCTAAAGATAAATGTATTAAACGATAACATACCTCAATTGCCATGCAACCCCCTTGGCCAAGATTCGGCTGCATTGGATGAGCAGCATCACCTAGCAGAGTAACACGCCCGGCTCCCCAGGTGTACATCATGTCTCTATCATAGATATCTCTCCGTAAAATCATGGACTCTGGTGTTTTTCGAATTAGTGTAACCACTTCAGGACACCAGTTACCAAATTTCTCGAGGAGCCTCTTCTTTTTACCTGCAACATCAAAAGGCATGATATTTACATTACCACTAGTCAGCAACATAGAGAAGGGAGAGGGAAGGAGGGGGCAGAGAGGAGTGTGCCTTCAGGAGGATCATTGCTCATAGGCTGCTCTTTATGGTTGGCAAACCATTGTATCTTTCCATTCCCAACATCTGTTGCAACAAAGCACTGGTTCAATCCCAAGAAGATCCGGTACCTTCATACCAGCAAAACCAAGATTACTGAATTAAAACATTCACGTGCTTTGTTTATTTTGTGCTGAACTTCCACTTTGGTCCATTCATAAATCCAGTTTGTCATAAGAAACTAAACCATTTTTATTACTTACGCAACACTATCAATATATGGTGGCACAAAGTTTGTCACTCCACTGTAGGATGTGTAAGTTGAATATTTTGCTTCCCGTTCCCCAAATAATTTTGCGCGCACCTAGTGATGAAGAAACAATAAGGAAGGAAGTTGATAAGTGCATACATACATACATTGGAAATAGTTCAAAAAGGAGATAACTTACCTTTGACCATATTCCATCAGCTCCTATTAAAACATCACCATCATATTGCTGGCCATCTTCAAGGATCACAGTGACCTAATAATCCACAGAAAGAAGTTGGAAATTTGTACCGAACTGTGAAGAATTAAAAAGTAGATTAGTCAAAAATTAATTCAACCTTGCTAGGGTCTTCAAGGAAGTCCACCACTTTAGATTTATTTCTCACAATGTCCAACCCAACAGCATTGAGTAAGATATCTTGCAGTGCCGTCCTGCATATTACTAGAGTGAGAGGAAGCCCCCTACTTACAGCTGGAGATGAAAGATCAAACTTGGTAATCCTGAAGAAAAAAATGAAAAAAAAAGGATCAAATGCTAACTTGAAAGCGTAATTCTTTCTTTTCTCGAAAATCAGAGTTAAAACAGAACTCAGGAAAAGGTAATGACTAATATCCATTTTCTTTTGCGATTAAAAGAATAAAATAGCTAGCTATTGTGGATATCTTTGCTTATGATATTTGGCACTTGAGTTATAGGAACATCCTCTGACCACAAGAACTATGAAATCCTCCGAAATTCAAATCAAAATAACTAAACCGAAAAGTTAGTATAGTGATCCATATATAACATAAAAAACTCAGAAAGAAGTACAATTCACTATAATGAATCAAAGTTACTCAACAATAGCATCAAGCTTACCATTCACCTGAAAGACCGTCTGTATAGCCAGTGGTCCTATTGCCAGTAACACAACCTGCTTCCTTGATTTGTTTTGCAACATTCTCGTCAATGGCTTCCAGGACCGCCAAAGCACTACTCACAAGCTGAATCGGTCCACGGTGTTGTCCCTCCCCTCTCACTGCACTCAAGTCCTTCTCAAAGACCTGTACTTCAAACCCTTTATGTTTCGCTGCTAGTGCCAAAACTAGCCCCCCAATACCCCCACCTGCAATGAGGATTTTAAGCTTCCTATTGCCACCATTCTCTCCATCTAAGGTCTGCTCAAAACTATTTTGACATCTTACATAATAGCTTCTGGTCTTGCTGGACTGTTTTGTTCTAAAATCAAGAATGCCAAAGGTCTGGTTTTGAATGCATGAATTAATTAAGTACCTGCAATTTGACATTGCTGACCAGAATAGAAAGTTAGGTCACAAGTGCGTGCTCAGGTAGTTGTGGTGTGGACTTGCAGTGGTATTATATTTGATATGACATGAAAACAAGTCAAGATAGCGCTCACAACCATTTTGTGACCAACGAACTTTACTATTATAAAGACGTGTTTCCTTATTCCTAGTAAACAAGTTCCTTAGAAATGAAGCGCCTAAGAGTAAGCTAATGAAGAGAAATTTGTCTTTATGGAGTTTTTATTATTTTTATTTTTATTTTTATTATTTTTTATTTATTTTTTATAAAAGTACAAGCAATAGTCTACAGGGAGGGAGATTTCACACATACACACACACAATTATGACGTCATGAGGATTCGAACCTAAAACCTCTAGTCTGCAAGTCAAAACCATTTGGGAGTTTCACTAAAACACCCAAAATGGAGGTTGAAATTATAAAAAAACCCAACACCCAAAACACTTTATAAACACACCCAAAACCCATCATTACACACACTCAAAACCTATTTATAAACACACCCAAAAAGTTGACTTTGGGTGTATTTCTATGTTTAAATAGTGCTTGGGTTTTTTTATAAATACATGTCTAGGATTGAGTTTATTTATAAATTTGTAAAACCATTTTCCACTGGCCTAGACCCTGTTGGCATGGAATTGTTATTAAAACTTCAAAAAAGTCGTAATCCACTTCTACATTATAAAAACACAAGGGAGAAAAGAAATTGCACATAGAGGACTGCTTCGAGACTTTTAAAGTGTCAACAGCAGTTGCCGTAATTTCTCTTCGTTTTTCTTTTTTGTGATTCTTGGAATGTTCATATTGCATGCTTCAATTTTACCCTCTATCGCCCATCAAACATGGTGTCAAACATGTCCAAATTGCTGGTTCAGATAAAGAGAGAAGAAAAGAAAGACTTCCATAGGACCATTCTCTCTGCTGTGCATTCGATGCTTGAGTTTCAACCGTGCTTTCAATCAATCAGAGATTCAAACTTGAAAGCCCTTCTAAAATTGAAAATAAAAACATCACTCGAAGTCGAGTGATAGTTAAGGTTGTCCAGTTTTATTTTGTGCACAAAATGAAACTTGTAACTGATGGCTTTTGCAGTGTCTCTCTTGTTGAAGTGAACAGGGAGAACGTTTGGCTAACCAAAATGGTTTTCTATCTTCCTCAAGTTTGCAGTGAACCCTCAATACAGACGCCTTGGTTTAAATCGAAAAACAGGATGAATAATTTACACGACGGCACACTAATCACTATTACACAAGCATCAGCCCTTTCCTAGGTTAATAATGCCCACTATTTAAAAAGAAATTATTGCCCCGCTATAGTAATTCTCATCCTACAATAATGCCTATCCTGAAAAGACCAAAACCCAGAATTTTATCATGTTGGGTTATGTAATTAACATATCATTGTACAAAAAAACTGGCCTTCAACCCAGATCTGTTTCACTTCTGCATCCTAATAGCTTTGCCTATCATATTATTGCCCGCTTCAAGCCTTTTAACCACAAATATGCGCTTTGCTGCTTCAGATCTAAAACCAGTAATCTATCATTCTCGATCCATTGGTTGCCTATGTAAGAACTGCTGGGCACCGTCAGCTGTTTAAAGGCAAAGGTCCTGGATGAGACATCCAGAGAAATAAATTAAAAATAAGTTAAAAGGAGAGGAAGGTCATATAAAATTTTGCACAAGACATCAAAGTCCAGTTGTAAGCTACCATTAAACACCCATACAGCATGGGAACATTAACCTTGCTATCATAAAAATCTTAGTCTAACAGATTCGACTTATTTGGTGGAAATGGCATAATAAACTTTCACTAGATGCGTCATCAAGAGAGGACACTACTGTGTTCGATGCAGCTATTTATAAAATGACGAGGACACTAATCAATTAATAGCTTTCTATTTATGAAATTGCTTAAGCGGACTCTAATTGGTGGACACTAATCAATTCATAGCTTATATATGCAGGAAGGTAAGGTTTCAAGAACAAAACAAGATGAACAATAGTTACCGCTTTCACCGTCAGAAATATCAGCAAGCTTTGCAATTGCATCGATAAGTGCTTGTTCATGGTCCTGTTCAAAGTTAATAAATCAGGTTTCCAAATAAGGAAAACCTTGTGATGAAACTTTAAAAATGCAAAAACCAAAAAGAGTAACCTTCTTACTTTCAACACTTTCTTCGCTTTCTCAATTTCAACAGGGTCTGGATGATTTGCACCAAAGACTCTCTCTACCTGTCCAAATTTACCAAAAAAATTGAAGCTTTATTCAGTAAAACAAACAACTTATCGACCATTTGTGGATCAACCTGCTTTTACTAACCTCCTTAATTAAAGTATCAGTGTGAAGTAACTGTATATCATCTGGAGCCTTCTTTCCAATGCCATTCTGTGACGGTGGAAAATCTTTTCTCGATTGACCCTTTGGGATCCCTCTACCTCTTCCAGGAACTGGAACATTGTCACGGCCTACAGATCTGTTAATACCATGACCAGATCCACCATAACCCCCACGATGAGATATTCCAGGATCTTCGCCTACCCATTGAATATCCTCGGGAGATATCTGCATAAGGAATTATAAGCCAGTATAAGGAAAGATGTAAACCGTCTGTAATTAATATATCAATATTGAGTGAGAAAAATGCAGGTTGTGATTACAAATTAATGTAGTATTGGAATTTTATATCATGTAGAGCTTGTTTATTTAATTGTGATTTCTTTACTATTATCTGTTTCTCTATTATTATTAGGGTTTCCTTATTGTGTGTGGACTCCAGAAAGAGCCCTTGTTATAACGACCATATTTTTAGTCAAGTCTGGTTGCAATGAACACCTCTCTGTGTTACCACATTTCTGCTGAATATGGAATTTTTTCCAGCACTAATACAACAATTAAAATGTATGAACCCTCAAATTTAAAGTATCCACCAATATCAACACAAGAGAAAACAGTATATTAATCTTAGAGCAGAAACTACCTAGTAGGAGTAAAAGGCAAATATTACTTGGAGCATGGTGCGCAAATTTATGTATCATTAATCAGTGGACAAACCCAATTGGCCAAATAGGGCAATTCAGAAAACATTGGTTAACAGAGAGCAGAAAAGCAAGAAGGAAGAAGAATTCATTAAAGAAAATAATTACTAGGAAGCCTTGTCGGAATGTGTACACACACAACATTATGCACTGAGGACAGTACTATAATATAAAATTATCAAGTTGTCTTTTCAAGAAGCAACAAACTTTATTAAAGAATTGATTACTTCATGTAAACTATTGGTAGCCTTATAAACTAAGTGAGAAGTCATTTTACATCCACTATCCACAAGACAACTTATGATCCAGGAAAAAAATCTGACTTAATGTAAAAGTCATAAGTGGTCAAGAATTGACAATTCGGCTTTCAAAAGAGCATCTTACCACTCAAATAAACTTCTGTATTTATAGCTTTACTACACGTAATATGTAGAAAATATGTAATGAAAACGACATGTGGGCAAGAAAATTTCAAATCCCAGGTACAACGCATCAAACATACCTCTGATAGATTAACCCACTCCCAAGTTTCATTTGCAGAATTAATATCGTAGACTAGGGCATGTCGTCCCTAACAAAAAAAAAAAAAAAAAAAGAACGAATGTCAGGTACAAGACTTAACATAGCTTTACTGAAAAATGAACTCCTGTAACACTTATAAGACCAACAGATACCTCAGCTTGATTGTAGTCCGTTATAACAGCTTCATAAAAGTTGTTGTCATCAGGCCACCTAGTCCTTACTTTCCTGCCAATCAAGGGATCATATGTCGTTCCTTCAGCAGGTTCATTGACAATGGCACCGGAAGAGACTCTATTCGAAACTTGACCTCTTCCTGTCGGACCTGAGGAAGGGAACTGCTTCATTGAAGAAGCACCCGGTAAAATTTGACCCTGTGAACATAATGAGACAAAAGGGAAGCAAACAAAGAAATCAATAACCTGCAAGCTTTTCTGTGTGTTTTACTTTATAATGATAATCCTCAACTCACAGGTTTATGTTTCTTTCCCTTGGCTCCCGGGGCCGGGGCTGGGGCTGGGGCTGGGACAGACCCTCGTTTAAGAGTAGATGAAGATGGCTGGTGGGATGCGGAAGCCTGTGGATGAAATGGTGGCGATGGCCCAACAAAGGATTGTGAATGTACTGACTGGGTCATCTTCTGTTTCTTGCGAGATGCAGAGACAGTAGGACTGGGTATTGGATCATGAGCTGCTTGCACAGTATTGTGCATGCCGAGTTGAGCCCCACCAGCCTGTCTCCACTCCCTGATGGCATCACCCAACACAGCACCCATTAAAAGAAAAAAGAAGCCAAGTAACAAAATATACTGAATAGGTCTCGTTTCTCAATTAAAGAACAAAGATTGTATCTTGTTTCTTAAATCTATCAGACCTTATCCTCCGTATGACATCATCTGCATTAACCCGTCCTAGAAGTTCTCTATGCTCCTCGTTCGATAGCCTCAACTCCTTTCTAAGTTCTGTTATCAGACTTTCCTTTTCCTGAAGAAAATACATTTCATGTAGCAGTCATTTAAACCTGATCAAGCAAATTAAAGATATTAGATCCACGAAGAAAAATGATAAAGTACCCAAGTAATGAGATCAGCTTGAGCTTTAAAGGCTCTTAGAACTGAACTGTATGCTTCTTGCTCAAGCTGGTGAATTTGTGCTTCCATGTCAGTATCACCATACATCCTAGGATATGGGACAGAACCCACAGCAGATCTTCCATTCCCTGCAACACGACCCCCTCTGGGAATTCTATTTTGGTGTGATGGAGGAAGATCGTCATCAGTTCCTGCAATTTTATTTTATTTTAGAACAGATGCAAACATAAATCAATAATGAGAATGAAATGAGGTCTGCAGTTTGGCCAGAATTCGCAGAAATTTGGAATAATAAAATTAAAAAAGAATATCTTGCGGGTCGCCTATGCATGACAAGCCAAGAGTGATACAATGATCGGATTATTCGACACATAGACACAGTCCCAAAAGCTTCTACTTAATAGGTCCATTTTTTTGGACACAACCCTATTTAATAGGTCCTTAGGCACAAATGTACAGGAAAAAGTGAAATTGAAAATAAAACTTCTCAAATCTCTAATTTCTGGAAGAGGTGCAGACCTAAGAACTAACCAAGTTGGCAACTAAAGCAGTTCACTTCTACACAGCAAGCTCAAAGGGATGAGTACCTTCACTAATAGTTTCTTAATTGTAAATGAAGAGCACATTCAAAGAACTCACCTTTAGAGAACAACTCCAAAACCAATTAGGTCCTTGAGATATATCCAAAAACCTTTCCGTAACTAAGGTTTTTTTTATTTTTTCCTCATAAGATATTGTAACTAAGGTATGGCATAGAATAATGTCCTAACAAAAGTGGCTTTTGTTTAGTAACTGAAACTAAACATATATGAACTTCAAGCAAACATATGCACTGATGCCTAAGAACACTGAAAAAAAAAGTTCAAAGGTGCACAGAATAAAAAACTAAAATCCACAATATAGGTGCTCTCATTAGGGAGTCAAGAGCTTCCACTGTGAATGTTTAAACCACAACATGTATATTTGCGTGAGGTGATATTACTTCCATATAAAGATATAACCATGCCTAAAAGGATGATATATATATATTTTTTCTTATTAACTAAATATCATGCTTCAATTTGAACTCTCAAGAACTAGGTTCGATCATTTGTATTCAATTATTAATTCAATTTCTTCAGAATTTTGGAAATAACATTTCTTAATTTCTATCACAACTTGTCCCAATAAAAGAATTATATCACAACTAGCTCTTTTTCCTAATAATAAATAAATAAAAATCGTGTTTCTTCTCCTTTGTTTTTCATTTTCGATTCTTTGTTAATAAGAAAATAAATTTTTCTTTCACATTCTACTTGGGATGAACTTATCTGAAGCATTCAAAAAGATCATGGATCCCAAATAAAAGCTTACTCGAGGAACCCAAGTTTCAAAAACCAAGAAGAACTAACTTGAAGAAAACAATGTCAAATAACGAAGTAAATTTGAGGTGCCATATATACAATCTTTGCTACCAAAGCTCCCAAGTTAAATGCTCAAACTCAAATACTATAAAGCAACAACTTGCTACCAGTTCATCAAAGAAGCCTCATGCTCTGTGACAAAGCATAGTCAAAGTGAAAGTGAATATATATTGCATATTGCTAAACACCATAATTACAGTGGAAAACCCTAATTCGTTCACTGCAAGTGCAACCAACCCCTAAACCCCCAATTACTGTTCTGAATGGCATACATAGATTTTTTGTCCAGAATAAGAGAAAAGCATAACCCTAACCCAAACTCAGCAAAGAAATCACTTCAAAAACCTAATCACCGAAGAAAAGAAGAAATCTTTCAAAGTAAGCTCACCGCTGCTATCGTAGGGCTCGTAGTCCATGGGCAGTTGATACCCTCAATCAAAACCAAAACCAACAAAACCGAACACTTTCTACCCTAAACACACTTGCCACCGAATTCGAATATGCTCTTGGAGACTTCTTCAAGTTCCGACCACCCCGAACGACACCGCAAGATACCGCAATAAAACGTCGTCGTAAAGAGTGTACCTTTTGTGTTCTACACGAAACGAAAGTCGTGGAGAAGAGGTTTTGGAGAGTGGAGCGAGTGAAATTAGCGGCGGTCGGAGGAGAAATCACTTCCACTGGAGAACCCACACACACAGTCTTCTCAGTATTGTAATAGGCTGCGGCTTTCTTTCACTACCTGCTCCTCTCTTTTTTTTTTTTTTTTTGGGAAGATTTTTGTGTTTCTCGTAAATCCGTCAACAATTTTCTTTTCTCAAGTAAATTAACAAAGACTGCTATGCACTTACCGGGAATTTTATGTTTCGTTAATATTGTTATCTCTTTTTTTTTGACAAAATTTCGTTAATTATTTTCATTTCCAAGGTTGTCGTACGCGTTTTATTTAACTTGTTCTACTCGTTTTTATTTTTAGTGAAATAAAATTATGTTTCGAAATTTCAATTAATTTAGGTTAAAATAGTCGTAAAAATAAATTACAAAGGTTTATAAATAATAAAGCTTGTTGGACTCAAATTTTGAGTCTACTGAGTTAATGTTTTCCCCCATTAAAGATGGTCTTATAAATAGTTTTTTTTATAGTAAATTTGGCTTACACCCTTTAAATTCAATTTGCCGTACCTAAAACCCTTCACTTTTTGTTCCTATAAATAATACCCAATTTGTATAAGTAAAAACCCATGACTAGGATCCAACTCAGCAAGTTACCTAATTAAGCATAAAATCTGATTTATTGTACTTTCCAGATTCCAAAAATACCCCTAACTAAGCCATTATTGCATTTTGTATATTAATGTATGAATTAATATGGAAACAGTTTTTAATTGGATTGTATATAATAACAGATGTTGAATTTGGAAAGATCTCCAAATGGTTCCAAATGGTTGTAATGGATGTATGAATTAATTTTGAAACATTTTTTTAAAAAAATTTAACAATAAATTCAAATTTAGGTAATTGGTTTGTTTAATAAAATGTTTATGTTATTTTCTTTTTATAAATTATACATGACTAATAATCCACTTTATAATTGTTTATGAATAAAACTGTACATACTTATTATGTTGAAAAAATAATGTACCTATTACTTGTTTGTTTTATGAAAAACATAATTTACCTAGTATGAAAAGTGTACATAATTATCTATTCCAAATAATGTACCTATACACATTAACAGGTATGTTGTAAAATAATTTACCTATGGGTAAATAATGTACCTATATTTATATAAATTATTGTGTACCTATTTTAATTATGAAAAGTATATGCAATTACAAAGTAACTTTGTTTTTTTTTTTTTTTTTTTTTTTTTTTTTTTTTAATATACATATATTTTATATGTATATATTTATATTATATATTTTCATAGGTACATTATTGGATATGTAATTTACAGATTTTTTTGTTTGTTTGTAATTTTAGGGGGAGAGATGTGAGAGGGAATGACAACTAAAAGAAATGGGGTGATTGATATGCTATTAATAGGGAGTATATTAATTACAATTATGGTAGTTAATGAAATGCTTGAAATAAATTACAAATAAAATATGAAGTTTAGTGGCAATGATGTAAAAACATAGAAATACTACGACATCTTATATCCTACTAGTCATTTAAATTTGAAATTGGGTTTTACACATAGATTTATAGAGTGATGGGTATATGTTTAGGAAATAGAAAATGTAGGGATCTAGATTGGACAAGCCCTTTTTTTTTCCCTCTTTCTTCTTACTTTAACGGGGAAGGGAATAGTTAACAGTAGGAATGACAATTCTTCCTTAGGATTTTTGCTGGACTTCGATCCTAATAGGTCGGATATGAAAGATATAAATTAGGTTTGAGGAGTGGGAAATTTTCAGGTAAAGTGTTCAGGGCAGGGCCAACTCCAACCCCAACTTGCATCATTTAGAATACAATATGTATATTATTTATTTTTCATATGAATATATTGTTATGTGGCTTCTCCGTGCGTCTCACAACTCCCACCAGAATATATATTCCACATATTATATATTGAATGAAATAATACATAAAAAGTGGAAGTCTAAAACAAAACTTTTTATTTTTATTTTTTTACCCTAGTATAATCTATAAATGTATAAAGCAAAAGGCAAAAAATGATAAGACATTCAAAATACCAGAAATTGCCCTAAACCTTA